ATGCATAAATAAAAATAATTATCATTTTTAAAAAAATAACGAATGGTAAGATGACTCAGCAGGTCTCACTGCCAAGCCTAATGACCTGAGTTCAATTTCTGGAGAGAATCAATCCCCCAAATTTGTCCTATGACCTCTAAATGTGTGCTGTGTCACACTTGTACCCCCTTATAAGGTCTCTCTCTCTCTCTCTTTCTCTCTCATACATGCATACACATAAGATAGACAAAATGCACTTAAAAATAAAGATAGGGTCATTGAGTAGATAACTAGATAAGGACTTGCTGTAAAGCCAACACACCTGGTTTAATACCAGAATGCATGAAATAGGAGAGAAATGATCCCTCCAAGCTGTCCTCTGATCTCTACACTCGCTCCATGGTACATGTGTGCCCGCATGGACACAAATAAATGTTAAAAATAAGGAAGGCCAGCAAGACAGCTCCATGGTAAAAGCAGCTGCCGAGCAAGCCTGGTGACTCAGCTTCAACCCCCAGAGCCCATGGAAAGGTGGTAAGGAAAGGACTCAACAATGTTTTAGACATTGTGGCATGAAAAATGGTACAAACATATCTTATAATCTTATGAAGGACAAACGATTATGGAGAGGGCATTAGTACGTTAAAGCGATCAAATGAAGCCAGGAGGGACTGGAGAGATAGCTTGATGATTAAGAGCATGGATGTTCTTCCAGAGAGCCTTAGCTTAATTTCCAGCACCCATCTATCGCTAGGCATCTCACAACTGTCTATCCTTGTCGTCTCCAGGGATCTGATCCCATCTTCTGGTATGCAGATGTACATGCAGACAAAATGCCCATTTATATATGATACCTAAAAAAAAAGGCCAAGCATGGTGGTGCACCCCCTTAATCTCAGTACTTGGGAGGTAGAGGCAGATTGGTCTCTGTGAGTTTGAGACCATCCTGGTCTACCTAGCAAGTTCCAGCACAGCCTGGGCTACATAGAGAGACACTGTTTCAACAAACAAGGGGGCCGGATGGCTCAGTGGTTGAGAGCACTGGTTGGTCTTCCAGAAGGCCCAGGTTTGAGCCAACATGGTGGCTCACGACCATCTATAACTCTAGACTTAGGGGCATCTGTTATCTTCTGGTTTCTGAGAGCAACATGCAGACAGGCAAAATACCTATACATATAAAATAAAGGTTAATAATTATATTATAATAATAATAGTGGCTGGTTGGATCATCAGGCAACATCAATCCAGCACTTGAGAGGCAGAGGCAGAGGCAGAGGCAGGCTGATCTCAGTGAATTCAAGGCCAGCCTGGTTTACAGAGGGAGTTCCAGGACAGCCTCGCTATACAGGGAAATCCTGCCTCAGAAAGAAAAAAAAAAAAAAATCTGAGTGTAGTAGTCTTTAATCCAGTACTTTGGAGCCGGAGGCAAGTGGATCTCTGTGAGATCAAGGCCAGCCAGGGCTACACAGTAATAAAATCATCACAAAAACAAACAAAAAAATAAATAAATATAAATAATAATAAAATATAGCAGGACATCTATCTGGGTGTGGTTCCTATAACAGTAGTTCTAGTAGTTTGGAGACTGAGGCAGGTGAGTTTCCACGAATGCTCAAAATACCCGGGTTACATAGTGAGATCCCTCTCAAAACCTGCCATCTAGGGCTTTGCTGAGTGGTAGAGCATTCTAGTCCATGGGAGGCCGGGCTTGACATCTACCACTGCGAGCGTTCACAGGGCAGATCTGTCAGCTACAGTTTGCCGCCGTGGCTTATCCTAAAAGACACCTCCTGCCACCCCTCCCTTCCAGGGGCTCTGAGCATCAGGCAGGCTGTTCTTTTCTGTTCTTGATAACTTTGCAACACAGTGGTGTCACTGTCAGCCTGCGGCTCTTTATTCTCTCTTTCTGTCTCAAGATAAACAGTGGGGCACCGCCACACGATGTGTTTCTTGTGTTGCTCTTTAGGTCTTCCTTCCAGCAAGCCCCAAATAATGCCAGCAACGACAGCATGTGGTTGAAGCCTGTTATTTAATTGCACGATGTATGTTATTCCCTCTCTCACTCTGAGACAGTGTCTTTCTATGTAGCCTAGCTGCCCTGTAACTCTCTATGTAGATCAGGCTGTCCTCTGCCTCTGGAGAGCACCACTATGCCTAGCTTATAGTCAGTGTCTTAATATCTTTGCAAGATATTAAGGGTCTTTCTGCATAGCTCTGGATGTCCTGGATCTCACTGTGTAGACCAGGCTAGCCTCTAACTCAGAGATCCCCCATGTGGCAGCCTCTGCTGGCACCACCACTGCCTGGCCAAGGTAGGTGTCTCAGCCATGGTCCTATTGCTATAAAGAGATAGCATGATCAAGGCAACCTACAGAAGACAGCATTTACTTGGGGCTTGCTTACCGTATCAGAGGTGAGTCTGTGACCATCGTGGCAGGAAGCATGGCATCGAGCAGGCAGGTCTGGCACTGGAGCAGTAGCTGAAAGCTTACAGCAGAGGCTAAGATCCAATGGCAGAGGACAACAAGACACTTTTATCTGTTGTCACTTTTTGAAACCTTAAGCCCACCCCAATGACACACCTTTCCAACAAGGCCACACCTCTTAATCTTTCCCAAGACCATTCCACCAATTAGGGATCCAGCATTCAAATACATGAACCTATGGAGGCCTTTGAAATCACTACAGTAAAGAATATCATTCTCATATTTTCTGAGACAGAAAAAGGAGGAGGAGGAAGAGAAGAAATGAGAGAGAGAGAAAGAGGGGGAGAGGGAGAAGGAAGGAGGAGGAGGAGAAGAAGCATGTACAAGATTATGCAGTTTAAGAAGTCTGTGCTAGCAAATCTGCTTAAACCACACTTGCCCCTGAAGGAGGCATGGGCTTGGCTTTGAGCTACAGCGCCCCCTGCTGCACTACTTTAAGTTCTCATCCTCGGACGTATAGTTTTGAGTCAGTGGTGAGCAACCTAGTTAAGAAGTTAGCAGAGAAGTGGAGACAGCCTAGGGCAGAAAGGAGACAGGAAGATAAGTCAAAGCCCTGCTTCCTCTTTTTTCCTGCCCTTCCTACTTCATTTCAAGTCTCTGTCTCAGAATCTCCTCGTTCTGTCATCAGGAAAAGTGATGTGGCTTAAAGTGATCTCAGTGCAAGAGACCCAGCCTGGCTGCTGTACCTGGAGCCATTTCCTGAGCAAAGCACCCAGCGGAGGGTGAGAGGGGCATGCGAGCAAAGAGAGCAAAGAGAGAGCCAACTCCTGGAAGGCGCCCTCTGACCTGCGCATGTCCACCCTGCCACACATGCATAAATGAACAATAACAGACCCACTTGTTTGCCCTCTGTAGGACCCGGGCAATGTATTAAGGTAGTAGGCCTTCCACACACGCACCATTGCCATTAAGCCATCTCACCAGCCCATACATGGCCCCTTTCCCCTTACTTTATACCCCCCCCGCCTCAAAGTTAACCTGATCCTCCTGTTTTGTAATATGTGTTTACCCACTGATAGACAAAAGCTCTTTTTTTTTTTAATTTTAGGACAAGGTCTCACTATGCAGCCCTGTCTGTCCTTGAACTCACTATGCAGAACAGGCTGGCCTTGAACACTCAAAGATCTGCCTTTGCCTCCTGAGTGCTGGATCTAAAGGTGTGCCCCTCCTTGCCCAAGCTGGCCAAAGACTTGGTAAAATTTCCCTTGTATCATGTTGTAGCTATGAAATCATTTTTGACTTGTGCGTTAGGCTGAGAACATACACACACACACACATACACACACACACACACACACACACGAACACACACGGATGAACACCTAAGGACAGAAATAACGTCTGCTTTTCTTAGCATGGCTTTCTACCATATAGATGCTCCATGAATGTAACAGTAATGAGCAAACAAAAAACTTCTTCTGAGGGCTGGAGAGATGGCCCAGTGCTTAAAAGCAGTGTCTGCTCTTCCACTGTGTTTGACTCCCAGCCCCCACGCGGCAGCTCCCAACTGTTCGTAACTGCGGTTCCAAGAGATCTGACACCCTCACACCACAGCACATACAATAAAATTAAATCAATTAAAAAATCACAAAGCTTCTTTACAAATTTCTCATTTTGAAACAAGGTCTCACTATGTAGCTCAGTTTGGCTTCCAACTCACTTTATTTTGCACAGTGGCCTTGAACTCTCAGTTCTCATTTTCCCATTCTGCCTTCTGAGTACTGAGATTACAGGCATGTGCAATTACTCCCAGCAAGCTCCCTTCACTAAGCTTTTTTTGGACTAAGAGCCAGAGAAGCCAAGTTCTACACTCAACCCTGCATGGAGCTGGCTTCATAACCCTAAGCCAGGCGTTCTCCAACACTGCCTCAGAAATGAGGAATACGAGATCCTCGGCAGCCTGGTTATGTGGAAGACTTCCCTGAATCACCCCTTAGGAACCCATTGCCATTCTAGGCTTCTCTCTTTCTCTTTCTTCTTTCCCTTCTTTTTTTCTTTTCTTTCTTTCTTTCTTTCTTTCTTTCTTTCTTTCTTTCTTTCTTTCTTTTTTTTTTGTTAGATGGGATCTCACTATGTAGTTCTGTCCTGGAACCTGCTGTATAGACCAGGCTGGCCTCAAACTCATCAAGATCAGCCTGCTTCTGCCTTCCAAAAGGTATGTGCCATCCACACGCAGCTTTTTTTTATTTTTATTTTTATTTTTTAACATTTATTTATTCTGTATACAATGTTCTGCCTTGGATACCAGATCACATTACAGTTGGTTGCTGGGAATTGAAATCAGGACCTCTGGAAGAGCAACCAGTGCTCTTAACCTCTGAGCCATCTCTCCAGCTTCTTTGTTTTATTCTATTTCTAAAAGACTCACTCTTAGCACAAGCTAGCACAAAACTCACCATGCAGCTCAGCCTAGCCTGGCCCAAGCTCAGGGCCATTCCTCTGCCTCAGCCTCTTGAAGATTACAGTCCTGTAGCACCGTTCTCCAGTGTTCTAGAACTCTGCTCACTCTTCTCTTTCTCTTTCTTCTTGATTCAGAGCCGTCTCCGTGTACCTTCCATGAACAGATTGGGCCCAGAGAAGTTCTTCGTAGGTGACGACCCAGTGGAGCCGGTGCCTCCCAGCCAAGCTCAGTGCTGCCCGTCTGCAGCTGAATCCACAGAGCAGCTGGAGGAAGAGGAGAATGAAGAAGAGAAAGGGAGGGAGGGAAAACAGGACGACAGCAACGGCTTCCACGCGTCACCCCTTAGAAGGTCTGGGGCTTTCAGAGCCCACAGCCACACCACCGACACCTTCAAAAGACACAGCTGGGGGCCTGGCAAGGAGTTTCAGGACCCAATAAGCAGGTGAGTCCCCAAGGGACCTCCTGACCCTCCCTTGCCCGTCTCTAGACCTTGGAGAAAGTGTTTAGAAAGGCACATTCTGGTGTCTTTCCCCCTCCCCCACCCTGCCACTGAGCTCTCTGGAGAGATAGGAGATCAGGAACGGTCTCCGAGGATTTGAAAGCTCTCCTGGAGAATCACAGCCTGTGAAGACTCTTGGGAGGATGGCCCCTGCCTTCTTAACCACAGCTCTTGACGGCGGCTCACTCCTTCCCACGGATCGCACAGCCAGGTGGGGTGGGGGTGGGAGGGAGTCCTGAGTGGGTCCCGGCTGAGCTTCACAGCCTGGAGGCCGTGTGACCCAGCTCTTCATCTCAGGACAGGAAACGGGTCCAGAGAACTTTAAGAGGCTTCTTGAGGGAAGTGGGTACTGTCCTTCCGGCGATGCTCCGCCCCGCCCCCACCCCTCACCCTCTGCCACCCTGCTGCTATCAGCCTGAGGCAGACCCATGCCCTGGGCAGAGCTGCAGCCAGAAACAGCGGGAGCTTTGTGTTTGTTAGTTTGTCGGTGGTTTTTGTTGATTTTTGAGCCCGGGCTGGCCTCAAATTCCTGATTCTCCTGACACCCCCTCTCAAGTACTGAGCTGACAGGTGTGGGTCACCAGGCCTGCCTGGGGACAGCTGCCCTTGCTCAGAGTTCTGCACATACTTACCAGGCTGGGGCAGAGGGACCCGTGTCTTCCCAGTCTCCTGGAAAATCCCTGACCACTTCCCCCAAATAGAAGAAATTATAAAAGGGAAGGCAGGGGGAGGGGACTGTCCACGTGAGTCCAAGGCCCGCTGCCACCAGGGCAGTCTCTTGACTTGGGCATGGTCTCCTTAGACAAGCCCTTTGCTTTGGTGAGTGGCGCAGCATTCCTCAGCGCTTCGGCATGGACGCGGGATGGAGGTGGGATGGGGTGGGGGTGGTGTTGCGGGGTGAGGGAGATGCCCTGCGACTTTGTCCCAGGGCTGGTTTTGCGGGAATTGGGTGAACAGCGATACCTTCGTGCAGGCCTGGCTTGAGTGCCTTTTGTAATGCCTGCCTACGGGTTTCTCTGAGTGTCTCAGAGTCACCTTCACGAACAGACATTAATTCCGTGCCTCAGGTGCAGAGGGAAGGGGCGCTGGCTTCCCCAGAGCTGAGTAAGAGCGGAGGTAGTCACCACCGGAATCCAAACGGGGAGAATTCAGCTTGCCTTTCGCCTCCTTCATTTCTGTGGGGCAGTATTGCTTTTCTACCAGCAGGGGCCGCTCTTGTCCGAAGCCAACTGTACCTGTGCAGAGCGTAGTTTGGGTCTGATCTGTGCCTATACTAACAGGAAGGGCTGGGCTGGGGCCAAACAACAGGGCTGGGCTGAGAAACTGTTCGTTCCTGGTGCCCATCACTGACTGCTGGCTACAAGGGCAGTGGTGGCAATGTGTATTTCAGGAGGAGACTGCAGTCATCGGGATGCCCAAGCACCCAGGAAGCCCCGTCTCTACAGAGCCTCGAGGAACTGGACGCCCTTCTGGGAGCGCAGCAACAGCAGGAGCAGCAGGAGCAGCAGGAGCAGCAGCAACAGCAGCAGCAGGGTGGCCAACCCTTTCACCGGGTATGACAGACCCCGGCCAGGCCACTGCCTGACACCCCCTCCTCCTGGCCTTCCTCTGCCAGCAAGCACTCTGTACGTCTTCTGTTCCATCAGCTGCTGGGTCTCTCTGTGCCCAGACTTGGCTCGGGCTCCATCTGAGTCCATCTGAGCCCATCTGAATCTATCTTCTGTGGCCCTCTGTCTCCTTCTCTGAGTCTGTATGCGCTGTGCCCAGCGCTGGTAGCCTGCCTCTGTCTCTTTCTGTAGCACTGTTTTCTTCATTTCTGTGTCTGTCACTCTGTACTGATGAGAGTATCTCTGCCCCCTCCCCTGTCCCTTTGGAGGCTATAACCACTTCTTTCTGTGGCCCCACATTTCCCAGAGTCGGAATTGAACTTATTATTTGTGGGAATACACTAGGCATCTGGTACCCTGAAAGACACAGGAGCTTTCTCACAAGATAGGAATAGCTGTTGAGAAAGGAGAGCCAAGAGTGTAGGTGAGTGCTGGGGTCACTGTATATCACTGTATATCCCCAGCAATAGAGGAGATGGGGGCAGCAATTGCTCAGCTCTCTGGACGAGGGAATACAGTTGAGGAGTGGGTCCCAGGATCAAAGGGCCAGCGAGAACACACAGACTTAGAGAACCCCTGCCTCTGCAAGCTAGTGTTCTGCACTCCAGAGAGAGCCCCAAGCCTCCTGGGTAACAAGCCCCTCCTAAGCCCACCCCCCAGCGTGTGTCCAGCCTTGCAGGCAAGCAGCCTGACCCCAGCTTATCCCATCTCCTATTTTTTTTCACCCATATCTCTGAAACCTTCTTCCCCTTCTTTCCCTTTTTAAGTGAGTATGAAGAGCACTTTCACTCCTAAATCTTCCTCACTGAGAAGACAGTGGATTGATCTCATCTTCCCCCAAATCAGACGTCAAACTGCCTAACAGTTGCAGTTATTAGAAGAAAGGCATTGACTGCCCAGCCCAGAGGCTGAACACGACAGGAGCTTGGGGAGTGGCTTTCCTCTTCTTGATTCTCTTCCTTGTTTTGCTCAGTCCCTCTTCTCCCCTTCACATCTTACTTACTCCCTTCTTACTCCCCTATTTTTTTTTACATTCCTCTCTCCTCATCTGATCTTTGAGCCCTCCTTAATATTCTCCTTGCCTCAGTGTTGGGGTTCTTGTTTTTCTTTCTGTGGCATTCCTCCAAAGCCTGCAGACCATAAGTGTGATTCACTAAGGCTAGACAGGGGCTGCAGACAGACATCCATAAGCACACACATTCCAGGATTGATCTTTTCACGATGTGAAGGAATTTACAATGTGTGTGTGTGCATTGTGTATGGGTGTGTGTACTGTGCGTGTGCGCGTGCCCTTGCCTGCAAGCCTGGCTGGTTATGGGATGCTAGAATCTGAACTCTGGTCCCCTCGCTAGCAAAACAAGCACGTTCAAGCTTGCAGACACCTCTGCAGTCCCAAAAGTCTAAACTGCAGCTGTCCTCTGCTCTCCAGCCGGCTACAGTTACTAATACTCTCTTGTACTTTCCCTTTGCTTTTGACTGTATCTTTATTTTTATTTTATTTGAGACAGTTCTGCTTATGTAAACTGGGCTGCTCCAGTCCTCCAGTCCTCCTGCCCCTGCTTCACTAGCTTTGGGATCAAGGGCACATGCTGGACCTTTTGTGTTTTGTTTTTGTTTCTTGAGACTATGCAGCCTTAGCTGGTCTGGGACTTGGAGTGTAGGCCAGGCTCACCTCCAAGTCATGACGCTTTTCCTGCCTCTGAAGTGCAGGGATTACAGGCATGAGCCACTACTCCCAACTCTGGCTTTGTTTTTTAAAAATATATTTATGAAATTTATAAGTACCCAAACCAAAACAAACAAAAATATTTTCCAATCCAAGACCTATAATAGCATCAATACCTTCATCCCTGATGGCTGCTGTCATGTACTCCCCTCCCTTCTTTCCTTCCTTCCTTCTTTCTTTCCATGTATTTATTGAGACAGGGGCCACTGGGTGTGGTGGCCCACCTTTAATCCCAGCACTCAAGAGGCAGAGGCAGGTGGATCTCTCTGAATTCATGTCCAACCAGGTCTACTAAAGGAGTCCAGGACAGCCAAGGCTACACACTGTTTTGAAAAACCAAAAGGGGGGGGGAATCTCACTGTATGGCACTGACTGCCTAGAACTCTAGTTGTTATAAACCAGGCTGGTCTATAAAATGGACTCCCAGAACTCCCAGGCTGCCTCTGCCTCCCAAGTGCTGAGACTATGGTTGTGTGCCACCAAGCTCAGACTAACTTTTTCTTTTTAGCATCTATTTATTTTATGTGCCTGCACTTGTGCAGCATGTGCCACTGTGTCTATGTGGAAGTCAGAGGACAGTTTGCAGGTTTGGGGCTCTCCATCCGTTAGACAAGCTTTGGAACTCAAACATAGGTCATCAATCAGGCTTCATCCACTGAGGCCTCTTCCAGGCCCTCCCTTTCTTCCTTTCCTCCCCACCATAGGTAACATCATGATGAATTTCCTTCCTTCCTTCCTTCCTTCCTTCCTTCCTTCCTTCCTTCCTTCCTTCCTTCCTTCTTTTCTTTCTTTCTTTCTTTCTTTCTTTCTTTCTTTCTTTCTTTCTTTCTCTCTCTCTCCTTCCTTCCTTTCTTCCTTCCTTTCTCTTTTGTTCTTTCTCTCCCCCTTTCTCCTCTTCCTTTTTTCGTTTCTTCTCCCCCACCAGCATAGATACTTTGAGTCTGTACATGAGCAATGACAATAATGTAAATAATTGTCTGTACAGCCTGGCCTACATGCTGGAGAAATGTCTGCTTAGACAGACACACAACTGATAAGCTCAAAGACAACAAGCTCAATTTCATGACTGAACCAGCTCAGCCCAGCTACTCTCAATAGCAACCAACACTTACATTGTATGGGTATATAATTGTTTTCTTTTAAAAACACCTTTAGACTTGTTTATGTGTATGAGTGTTTTGTTTTGCCTGCATGTATGTCTGTGCCCCACATGTATGTCTGTGCCTGCATGAGTGCCTGTGGAGCAGAAGAGGGCGTTGGATCCCCTGGGAATGGAATTATAGTTGTGAACCATCATGTTGGTGCTGGGAATCAAACATGGGCCCTTGAGCAGCAGGTGCTTTTAACCACCGAGTATCTCTCCCGCTCCTTGGCTTTCTCGGTGATAACCATTTTGAATGGATTAAGATAGAATCTCAGTGTGTGGTCTGATTTCCCTGTCCTGCTGGCTAAGGATGTTGAACATTTTTTCATAAATTTACTGGCCATTTGTGAATGGTTTCCTTGCCTATTTATTGACTGGATTGTATACTTTCTCATGACTTTTTAACTTTTATACTCAAGGTATTAGTCCCATCATTTGTATATCTAGATTTTTCTCTCATTTTGTAGGTTGTCTGTTCACTCTGATAATTTTGTCCTTCACTATGCTAAAGCTTTTAAACTTCATGTAATTCCACTTGTCAGTTCTTGTTTTATTTCCTGCCCTTTGGAGTCCTCTACAGAGAGAAGATCCTCTGCCCAGGGCTGGGGATGTGACTCAGCCGCTGCTCTTGGTCATAAACTGCGCGTGCAGCTAGAGAGATGTCTCGGCAGTTAATAGGACTTGCTGCTCTTGCAGAGGACTAGTATTGTCTGGCTGATAGCTTTTATAACTCTAGCCCCAGAGCATCTGATGCCCTTCTCCGGCCTCTTGGGAACCTGCAAACATGTGGTACACATACATATACTAAAGCATACACACATACACATAAAAGAAAATAAAAATAATAAAAAACAACCTAGAGCTGGTGGTGCCTACCTGTAACCCCTAGCACTCCAAAAATGGAGGCAGGAGTATCAGAAATTCCTGGCAATCATTGGTTACATTGCAGAAGACTGTTTCCAAACAAACAAAAAACAAGAAAAAGCATTCCCCTGTGCTTGTATCTTGAAATGTTTCGCTGTGTTTTCTTGCAACAGTTTCAAAGTTCCAGGCCTTACTTTAAGGTCTTTCATTCATTTAAGTTAATCTTTGTGCAGGGTGAGAGAGACTCTATAACCTTCAGAAACTGACATGTCGCCTTTTCACAGGGGCTGTGCTAAACTCTTCTGTGTCTGAGCAATTCCAGTGCATGTACTCCTGAGAAGCCCAGGCTCGTCTGCCCTGCATTGACTGTGTCTTTTAGACATTTTGACACTGACCCTTTGTGGTTATTATGTATTTGGGGATTTATATCAATTGGGCTCTGTCTTTTTGTTTTTCAATAAACAGAACTTTCTTTTCCTCAAAAAAAATTATTTATAGCTGGGTGTGGTAGCACATGCCTTAATCCCAGCACTCTGGAGGCAGAGGCAAATGGATTTTATGAGTTCGAAGCCAGCCTGGTCTACATAGTGAATTCCAGGCCAGCCAGAGATATACAATGAGATGTTGTATCAAAACAGAAACCAACTCTAGGTCAGATATTGTGCTGCGACTCTGCAGTTCTACCAGAGGAGAGATTGAGGCAATAGAATCTTGAACTCAAACCAGCTTGAACTATATAGTAAGTGCCTGTCTCAAACAAACCAAGCATGCACACACGCACAGGAAAGAGAGAATGAAAGAAAGAAGTGATGAAGGAAGAAAAGGGGGCAGGAGATGGCTCAATGAGTCAGGATTCCTGATGACCCGAGTTGAGTTTGATATTTAAGACATATATTGTGGAAGGAATGACTTGACTCTTGCAAGTTGCCCTCTGACCTCTACAGGTGTGTTGTGGCATATGCATACACACATATACACATGAAATAATATCTAAGTTAAAAAATAGAAAAAAAGAAAAAGCAAGCATGATACACACATATCAAACATCACATTGTGCCCCATAAATATGTTCCATTATTCTGTGTTGTTTTAAAAAAAAAAAACAAAAAAACTACATCCTAATTTACAAGTGGGATGTAGTAACAACAGGCCTACTTCAATCCAAGTGCTGAGAAGGTAGAAACAGGAGGATTGGTGCACATCTTTAGTCCCAGTACTTAGGAGGCAGCAGAGGCAGGTGGATCTGTGAGTTTGAGGCTAGCCTGCTCTACAGAGTGAGTTCCAGGAAAGTCAGGGCTACACAAAGAAACCCTGTCTCAAAACAAAAACAAAAAAACAAGTTCAAGGTCATCTTCAGCTGTATGGTGATTTCAAGGCCAGTCTGAGCTACCTAATAATAATAAGTTTAAAAGAAAGAGGTTGGCAGTTTGGCTCAGCAGATAACAGTACATGCTGTGTAGAACTCAACCTGAGTTTGACCCCGGGATCCCATGATGGAAGGAGAAAAGCAACTCCTGCAAGCTGTCCTCTGACCTCCACATGTATGCTGTGACACACACACAACAGAGCTACAGAGTAACAATAGAAAAAAATTATATATCATTCATTCATTGTGTCTTCTGTCCAGGCTGGTGGATTAAGCTGTAGGGATAATAGCAGGACTCCTTGCAGTGAAATGGCCCAGATGTGGGGTAGTGGAGCCTCTTGGGAGGCCTGGTGGAAGGGCTGAACTTCAGGGAAGGGAGATATGGTTGAGGAGGGTGGACCAAGCATGGCCTTCATGTGAGGACTTCACACCATTCCAGGGTCAGAGTGCCTGCCATCTATTTGCTGCCTCGTTGGCTCACTCAGCCACTGGCATGCTGTCCAAGGCTGTGTCCATGAGTGGCATCAATTTCCTCTTGGAAAGCTCAGATCTAAAAGGTAAGTGAAAGTGGGGTGCAAAGAAACGGTGGCCCCTTCCCTCATCCCTGTCACCAGCAGTCCCAGAGTTAGCTGTTTAGAGTCCAGATGACCTGCATTAACTCTAGTCATACACTTTTGGGGCTCAAGAGAGGGATCTTTTTTGTTTGTTTTGTTTTGTTTTGAGACAGGGTTTCTCTGTGTAGCTCTGGCTGTCCTGGAACTCGCTCTGTAGATCAGGCTGGCCTCAAACTCTGAGGTCCGCCTGCTTCTGCTTCCATGGCCTGGCTGAAGTGAGGGATCTTATCCAGGAGACCAGCATCTCTGAGACTGTCCTGCCAGTGAAGGAGGACACAGATAGAAGGGGTCTTTCATTAAAGATGGAGGACAGTTCCTTGAAGTGCATCTTGTCCTGAAGATGATATGTGTGAGGGCTGACTGGTTGGCTTCCTGGGCTCAATGGGTAAAGGTGCTTGCCATTCAGTCTAATTCTATCCCTGGGACCCACATGGTGGTGGGAGAGACTGTCCTGACCTTCATATGCCTGCTTCTCCCCCAACATGCACACAAATAAATAACTGTGAACAGAGATTAAAGAGATGAACTATGGGGAGCTCAGTGCAGAACCTACCTCAGCCCTCTCCACTTGCCAGAGCAAGACTGAACCATTCATTCAGTTTAAGCTAGTTCTTTAGTTTGTTTTCAAGTTGTTCAGCTGTGCTCTCCTCAGACCCCGCCCTCTGTCCCTGCTCCCCTGTGGCCGCCCTCTGGAATGGCGTCACGTGCACCTGCAGCCTGGGAACCTGATCCAGGTGGAGGGGGTTGGGGAGGCAGCCTTAGGTGCCTTTGTCTGGCTTCTACTACTACACTTCACTTTTCCTTGTCTATCAGCAGGCAACTCACTGCCGTCCTCTACCACCGACCTCAGCAAATGGTGAGTTTGGGGGATTCTGAGCCCATCAAAGGCCTTGATGTAGGGTATGGGTCACGAACTTTGCAGCCCCGAGACTCCCTGCTTCTTCAAACACTGTTCCCCAGAACGCTCTGATGAGAGGCCTTCAAATAGCAATCTCCCTAAGCCACATAAAATCCGTTTTCTTTCTGTTGTCTAGGAGCCCAAAGGGATGGGAGAGGAGTTAGGGAGAGAAAAGGAGCAGCCAAACCCTATGGAATCTGCCAATAGCCGAGATTTGCTTGCTGTTGTCGGTTGCAGAAGGGGGAGTTGGCCACTCTGCCTCTGGATGACTGTGACCATGGGTGGGCTTTGGATGGCAGAGAACTGGCTGATGGAAAGTGATTCTAAGGAGAGGTAGTTGAGGGCTGTGGAATTCACAGCAAAGGGACAGGGCCTGAAATGGACCTTTCAATAGCTATGCAAATCAGCACGCAAACCCAGCACCTGTGTATCTGGCTTGTGTGGCCAAAGCCTTATTAGATTAGGGCAGCCAGCTCACTCAGTGCGTCTGCGTGCAAAACATGGCCCCTTTAAGAATCAGGCTCTGATTTGTGATCCTAAAATTCTCTAGCTGACACAACCTCCTGGCTCTAGTAAGGATTAGCTCATGGGATGGGCTGATGAAATCCCAGGAAATTCGGTTCTTATTGGCTCTAGGCCCAGGGGCTTTTTCCAAACAGCAGAGGGTCCACACAGGGCTCTTGTTCTGAGAGGGGGAAATGCCCCCTGGAGGGCCCTCTCTCCAACCACTTGAGATGGAGAGCAGTTTGAGAGGGACAGGGCCCTCCCATCTCCAGCTGGAGAGGAAGGAGGAGGAGGAGTCTGGAGTTTCTTCATAAATTGAGGGGCCTGGAAAACCTGAACATCCAGATTCAGGAGAGTGACGAGGTGGGGATTTTTTTCCAATCTCCTATCTCAAGGGCATGGTCACCACCACCCCTGTGGTCTACTTTTTTTCCAGCTCCCTCTCCTCACCTCTTCCCTGTCTCTTTGCAGCGGTAGCCAGCTGGAAGGGGAGTCAGGGACCGGGGCAGGCTCCTCCTTGCGACGGACCTTCAGCTTCTTCTTGGGCATGACCGGCAAGGCCAAGGTAGGAGTCAGCCTGGGGACAGACATAGACCCACTCTCCTCCCTACTTTTCTTCCTCCTTGTCCCAGCAGACCACCCCTCCCCAACTCTCCTGTTAGAGATTCAGGGCGAAGGCTCTCATCTTAAGAGAATACATGACGTACCTTCAAAGCTCTGAGTGTCCCTGTAAATCAGCCTTTCTCTGTTCCCGTTCCCCTCCTCTCTGGCTTGGCAGACAGCTGCTGCAGACAACTGGAAGGGAAAAAGAGCCAGGATCTGAGAAATGGCCTAGGGCTCCCTCATTTCAGGCCACCCATAGCTAAGAGGTGGCAACAGAAATCCTGCCCATTGGACATAAGGATGATAATTACAGCAACGCCTTTCACTTATTCAGAGAGTGTTAGAATTTTCAAAGTGCTTTTACACTCATAATTTTAGGGGTGGATACAACAACTGAAGGAGTTGAAATAAGACCACAGGCAGGGTGGGAGCTAGGGAGGTATGTGATTAGACAGTACACGTGTGGCCATGCGTCTTCTGAGGCCCCAAAGTGAAGGAGTCTTGCTCACTCCTTTGTCATTACCCCTTGGCTCTGGTGAAGCAGGGCGCTTTAGCTTCAACCCGAATTTTCCGTTGTCTTTCTTTTTAGATTTTTTTGTTGTTTTGAAACAAGGTCTCTGTCTATAGCTCACTATAGAACTCACAATAGAGCCCAGGTAGCCCCAGCTGTGGCTTTCCTCCTGTCTCAGCCTTGAGAGTGCTGAGGTTCTTGATTCTTGGCATGAGGCGTCACATATGGCCTTTTTATTTATTTATTATTTAAATCAAAGATAGGGTTTCATATAGCCCAGGCTGGCCTTAATTATGTGGTTGAAGATGACAGTGATCCTTCTGCCTCTGTCTCAAGTGCTGGGACTCCAGGCATGTACCACCACACCTGGCAGAGGAGGTCCCCTTTCCTTCTCCCTCTCTCCCCCTCACGTCCCTCTCTCCTTCCTTCTTCCCTTTCTCCCTCCCTCCCTCCTTCCTTCTCTCCTCTTTCTTCTGGCCACCACTACCTACCTGGCTCTACAGAGTGGATGACCTTCATCATGCTGCCTCAAGCCTCTGAGCACTGGGATTCCAGGCTCCGCCTTCTGCGGCACCAGGCCACTCTCCTTTGCCTCTGGTATGCCTGTGCTTTTCAACCTGAGGTAGCTGAGCACTGAGGGAAACCTGGAGGAAATACCATCCTATTCAACTGGCACAACCATGTGGTGACCAGTCAGGTTGGTGCTGAGGCAACAGTGCAAAGGCTCTTCTGGAGGCCAGATTCTTGAGGGCAGGGCTCCCTCCCTATAGGCGGGCAGGGAAGGTAGAGAGGCAAGCAGGCCCTTTGCAATGGGGTGAGGCTGAAAGATTTGGCACATCACAATCTTAAAACCCCTGGACATGGGGGAGGCAGGCAGGGTCAGGAATGTGAATGCTAGAAAACAAAGCAAGCAGGAAGCCCTTAGGTCTGAATTCCCCCCACCCCCAGGACACAGGCTCTGTCAGACCGTCACACTGCATTTACTCACCCTTGGCCTAGCAGCCGGCTAGGAGATTGAGTAACCTGAAGAAGGGGAACCTGGGTAGACACTCTGGAGCATGGACAGGGAACAAGACGAGCCAGCGTAGGTCAGTATATTGTTCTGCTTGCTGGCATATCTTCACCAGGGTCCCTGTTTCTCTGTATCTCTCTTTGAAACCCCACCCACCTTCTCTACACACTCACTGAATGTGTATGCCTATGTCATGCTATCCTGTTCTCCCTTGTTCCCAGCTTTTACCAGGGCTGCACATTGCTAGGACTGGAGAGGAGAAGGTAGCTTGCTCCTCCTCGCTTGACTGACACCGTAAAGGTGGCCACACACTTTCCTAGAGCTCATCGTGTCTTCTTAGAATGGCTCTGGCAGAGATAAGCGACAGTGATACAGTGGTCACCATTCCACAGACCAGATAACCCAGAGGCTGGGTTAGTTAGACCCCTCGGCCTGAGAGCCGCACTCATGTTAAACAGCCTATGTCTTCCTCCACCAGCTCCTGCTAGGAGGCAACTGTGGTCATGTATATCTTAGTCACACCCATGTCATGTCCAAGACCTAAAGTAATGAGAAAAAAGGCTGATTTGTGGACTGTGTGCTTGGGTCTAGGCACCTAGATCCAGTGGCCCTTTGGAAACCAGACCCTTCCTCCCTAGCTGTCAATGGGAGTGGTACTTTTTTTTTTTTTTTTTTTAAGTTAAATGAGCCAACGAAAGCACTGGCTACTTTTAGATTCTGGCGAAGGTTTTTTATTTTTATTTTTTTAATATAAACAATTTCTGAAAGATGTCACTGGATAAGGTTACAGGGGGCTGGAATGAAAGGATTTGGGAAAAGGGAGGACACCCAGAAGAAAGGAAAAAGTTTATTGTTCCAGAGGACACAGAAAACAGAAACTGAGTCAAGCTGAAGACATTAAATACATGTGGTTTTAAAGGCTTGGTCTTCTGAGGGCAGAGGTTTAGGAAGAGGGGAGGGCAGGTAGGGTAGACAGCAAGCTGAAGGTTTAGGGAAACACAGCAAAAGGCTGGAGATCAGACCTCTTCCTCATAGACCTTCCACATAGATTTTATATACTGACCTTCACAGAGTCTAGATTTACTGGTTACTCAGATAGAGTTTGGCTTATAACAATTTCTTGGAGAAAAGTGAGGTTCTAGCCCAACAGAACCTCCAGTGTTAAAAGCCAGGCAGCTAGGATTCTGCCCTCTAGCTGGCTGTTAGTACATTTCTCAGCCCTGGCTGGTCACTCAAAGGAGTCTGAAATCCAGAGGTGGTAGGTGCAAGAGAGCTCCTAAGGTCTTCCTAGGTTTCCTTTAGAGGCACCAGAACTGGCCTGGGAAAGTGCTTTCTGCTTCATCTAGCTAGCCTGGACCGGACATAGTTTTTGTTTTTGTTTTTTTTTTTTTTTCTGGCCTTTACTATATAAGGCTTCTAAACAGGAGGATGGATGCAGAAGGTGAGGGCGTTGCTAGGCAGGGATAGGTCAGAAGGAGCAGGGGTGAGGAGCCCAGCCAGCACAGACTGTGGTTGAGGCAGTGGAGCCCAAAATAGAGAAGGAGGCTAAAATTGGCACCCTGAGAGAGGGAGAGAATGCTGGGTTGGGCTGGAAACCTGCAGCCCAACACCATGCTGCCCCGCCGCTGAGAAGGCCAGGAGCCAGCGGCGGTAGGCCTCACCTCCTTCCCTCTTTACCACACACTTTGGGGACCAGATTAGGCAGGGCCTTACATTTTCTCCAAGCTTTGTCCCAGGGTGCTCTGGTTTTTACAGAGCAACGGGAGCAGACTGGAGAAAATTTCCCCAGCGGCAGGAAACTCAGGTTGACTCAAAGGGTCCAGAGAGATGAAAACCCACCCACACGCCTCAGCAAGCTCAAAATTGCGACCAGGGCGAGGGGGGGAGGGTGTTGTTTTTAGTCTTCCGAGTCCGGTGTTTAATTCATACGGAAAGAACTGGTGTCAGGACACCAGGAAGGATTTCCTCAGCTAGCCTCAGGAAAGGTGGAGCCTTCTCAGCTTCACGGCCAAAGAGGTGGGGCTGAGAAAGATGGTCAGAGTGTGGTCCACAGGGCCCAGAGAGGTGAGAAGCTTGTGGAGGTACCCTCTCCGGAGGATTCCTTGACTTTGGAATCTTCTTCACTCTTTTGGGGGAGAGATATCTACTAAGGACGAAGCTTCTAGTTCCCCTTTAATTTTCCCCTTCCCTCCTGTCACACCAGTCCTCCACTGTAAGAGAGGTCTGTGTAGTCAAGCCTGTTCGAGGGGCCCTAACGGCTAGGCTAGCTGCCCCAGCTGCCAATGAAGGGATAGGATCCTCCGACCTGAGGGTCTTTAAAGACTGAAGTTACCCAGAATGGGAGCCGAGCTCAGAGGGGGTCGCTGAGGGCAGAGCGTGTCCCTGGACGCTAAAAGGAAAAAGCAAGAGGCCTCATCGAACCTGTCCCAAGAAATCCTGCCCTCCAGGCTGCAGCGGTACTAACCCTGGCGTACCCCGCCCTGCCTCTGCTCCGCCTCCCCCCTTCCTGAGCTCGGGTGGGGGAGGAGACTAGGGTTTGAGGAACTGGCGCTGGGTGCCGGGGCGAGGGGACTCAGACTTCCTGTCCCCGAGGCCGACGCGTGCGGCCGGACCCCTCCCCCGCCGGAGCCGGACGTCCCGGGCCGCCGCGTCCTCCTGCGGCTCAGGCTGGATTATGTCTCGGATCGAATCCCTCACGCGCGCGCGGATCGACCGGAGCAAGGAGCTGGCGATCAAGGTGGGCTCTCTGCGTCCGGGCGCCCCGCCGACCTCCGGGCCTCCGCCCCGCGTCCCTCCGCCCGCTCCGGGGCGCCCGAGTCCGCGCGCAGCGGCCGGCCGGGTGGGTGGGGCTGCGAGCGCGTGGGGAGGGGGCCGAGGGCCGCGACGTGACCCGCGTCCCCAGCACCCGCGCAGCTTCTGTGCGGGGACCCGGGAGAGCGGAGCTGGGGCGCCCGTGGTTCGGCGGGACCGAGTGTTTCGGGCCGTTGGGAAGAAAGTTGCTCCGGTAAGGGACGGAGCGGGAAAGGGGGCCGAGCGTGTCGGGTGTCGGGGGCGACGCTCGCAGCCGGCGCCCCCCAGCGCGGGCTCTGTCGTTCCCCCTTTGTCCCCACCGTCGGGTGGAGGGGGCCGGAGGGGGTGGTTTCCCAGCTCCCTCCCCGACCTTCCCGCCCCTCCAAGACAAAAGTCGGCTCCTCCTCCTCTTGCGGATGGACTTTCCAGCTGTGATTCAGTTCTTGCCTGGGGTGGGCGGGTGGCTGGGGTCAAGACAGCAAGCGACAGCCCGTTTTCCCCGCCAGGCCAAGCCGACTCCCTCAGGTGAAGCGAGCTGCCTTTGTGTGGCTGGGATGCCTCCCCTCATCCTGAGCATCGCGGGGCTTGGAATCCAGAGTAGTTCCCACCCTTATCTGTTCCACCAGCTTCCAGACGCCTAGCTCTCCAGCCCCCTCGGCTGACCCACTCCCCTCAGCCATATGTATTTCGATTATCGCCTCGGGTTGGGGGCCGTTCACCTGTCTCAGGAGTCTGGCTGGGTAATTATCAGCAAACACTCCGCATCACGACCTCTCCAGCACGCTTTAAAAGTGGCCTTTATTCCGGTCTGTATTCAGACGCACTCCCAAATGCCGTGACTTTCCATACCTCAGCTCCCAGGAAATGGTGAAACCGAGGACTTGAAGATGAATTAGTGAAGCTGGGAGGGACCTGGCTCGGGCAGATGGCGCCTCCCAGTTCTTCAGGGCACCCATATTTAAGGCAGGAGGGGCCTTAGTCTTAATCTCTGTCCTGGCTGGGCGCGCAGGAACTGTCCTGCAGCCAGCCAAGCAGATCATTTTCAGTCTGTGAAGCCACTCTGGGAATGGAAACCCCTCTCCTTTTACGCTCCGTTCCAGGCTTTAGCTACTAGTTTTAGTGCTACAACCGGAGGAGGTTGCTTGGGGTGGCAGCTCAGCTTGAGGCTTTTCTTAGGGTTTTGGGATGGGAGTCTGCTAACCGGAAGGAGAGCTAGCAGGACTCTGAGCAGCTCCAGGGTGAGATGGCTGAAGTGTGAACTGTGGGGTGGCAGACAGGCTCTTAACAACCCTAGCCACTGGCCAGGCCCGGCTCCCAAAGTCTGTTTATTTTTTCAACTGTTTGAGCGAGACCTGGAGTAGGGCCAGGGTGGTGGGGGAGGACCTTTTGAAAGCACGGAAATTTGGTTCCACCCTAAAAAGGAAAGCCACGGGGGAGTTGGGGGCCAGACCTGTGGGGCTGCATGAAGACATTCTCAGGGGGCCTTTCTCTAATCCAGACACCTGGTATCTCATGCTCTGTTTTTCTTTTCTTTTTTTCCATCACACAGTAACTGGAAATCCAGAAACCTGGCTCTTTTTTATCTTTTGGCTAGCCAGGGAGGAGGGTTTGGGGAATCTGGGACAGGGACCAGCGAGTGATTCGGAGAGGGCAGGGAGACCACGGGGAGGAGGGAGATTGTCAGTTTGAGCTGGTCGGAAGGGGAGGGACACCTCCGGAAAGCTGTGGTTACCGAAGTGGGGGAGTTGGTTCTTAGCCAACTGAACCCTGGATCTCCCCCTTCCCCCTCCCATGCACGCCAGCTGTCTCGTTTCTTTTTATACTGTGGTGGGAAGTAGAGGGGCCCACTGGAAATGACATTATTTGGAATGTGATCTTCCCTGCTACCTTTGAGGGAGAAGGGTCAGGGCGGAGATCTACCGCCCTCCCCTATCTCTTTTTCTTACTCTTAGGATATCTTCACAGAAGGAAGAATTCAAGTGTAACCTGCTTTCTTCTCCTTCTACGGGCATAGGATCTTTCTGTATACCCTCCATGCTTCCTTTTTCTCCTCATTGTTTCTGTTCTTCCAGGCTGTCTTCTGTTCTCCACCCCCTCAGTTCTCTCTGCCCTACTTCCTACCTCCTCGAACCTCAAAGCTGCTCTGTTCATCTTTAGACCCCCTTATCTCTCCTCCCTACATCCTGAGCCATAACAGTCTTGGCCCCAGAACAAAGCAGGGGCCAGAGATCAGGGCACCGTGAGCTTTTCTGAACCCCCTGTTGTGACGGTGAGCAGGGAGAGCAGGCTGCCTTTGTTCTGTGTACCAGAGAGGTGGCTGGCTTTGTGCGCAGGGCCAGGAGGGCAGGGCTGGGGGAGCCCTGGAGGGAAAGAGGAATCCTGATAGTTTAGGAAACTTGAGGAGCCAGGGGTCCTTTAAGAAGGTGAGGTTTGGGGGTCATCCAAAAAGATTCTAGGGGTCATGGATGTCTAGGTAAAAGAAAGAAGCAAAGCTGGGGCATACTGAGCTGAAGACAGAGAGGTCACATAGGGACTCCAAGATGGATGAAGCGTGCCTAGAGAGCATCCAGGGGCGCAAGAGTAGGTGGAAAGGGGTCCGGTTTATGTCCCACCGGTGCTGGAACTGTGACCTTGAATCAGGGAGAGCAGGAATCAGAGGAACAGACTGATTCCCAAGTGTGTGTGTTACCTGTGTTTGGAGGTGTGTCTCTGCGTCAGAGGTGCTCTTTGAAAATTAGTGCTTGCTTACCGTGCTCCGTGGACTTAAGGAAGTAGTTCCTGTTTTAAAGTTCAGCCAATGTGTTGATGTAGGTGTAGGCGCTGAGTGAATTGGAGCTGTTAGAGAAATGGCTGAGAAATGCTGGCATAGACCCTTCTGGGTTTGTTTGTGTCTCCTTGGGGAGGTGGGGGTGGGGCTGCAGGCGGCAGCTGCCCCCTCCCAACTCAGCTGGTCTGCCTTGTGCCAGGAGGGCAGGGAGTCTGGCACAGCTATTGTTCGCCTGTACAAATGCCTGTCTGTCTGTCTGCGTCTCGCCTTCTCCCTCCTGGCCTGACAGGTGTGGCTGGGTGGGGAGCAGGCTGGGGTCCAGGGTGCCTGGGTCTCAGAGTCTCTAGTTGGGTTTTATTGCCTATGGCCTAAGTGCCCCCTTTCTGCTTCACCAGTATGCTGCTCAATACACTGTCTAGTGGTTTAGCATCCTTCGTTAAGCAGGGTTTTTGTCTAAGTGCCTTTGTGTGCTCAGTGATGCCTCTCTTTTGTTTCTGGCTTTAGTGGCTGCATTTGGCCGCCTTCTCTCAGCTCCCAGTCTTCCGTTTCCTTCCCCAGAGCTTCTGAGGGAGCAGGGCTTTCCACAGACCGCCCAAAGTCCTCCTTTGGGAGTGACATCTGGAGTCTTCTCTCTTCCCTCCCCAGTCTCATAGATTTCCCCTTGTGGAATTGAAACCAAGTTTGCAAGCGCTGCCCTGCTGAGCAGCAGCCCTTCCCCTTTACAACCAGTGACCCTGTGTCTTGGCTGTCCAGGGCAGAGCTATGGGCAGTTAGTCCTAGTGGACTCCTTCAATAGTCGTCTGGCCCTGCAGTTGCCAACAGAGGTGACTGTGAACACCACACAGTTCTCCCAGAGGCCTTGGTGAGGCCATAAGGCTGGGAGAGTAGCCCTTACTCACCCTGAGGAGCCTGGGAAGCTGGAGTCTGTTGTCTTTATGTGTATCATTGTTTTCTCTCAGCCTAGTGCACAAGATGGACAGAACTTGTCAGCACTCAGCCCCAGCACTCTTCCCTCACAATGGCCAAGATTTGGTTTGGGTGTGGAAGGATGCTTTAAGTTGGTGTTCTGGCCTCCTGAGGAAACCATCTTGGTCTCAAGGCAGAGGAAGTAGGAGAGTGGGCTTTGGGAGTGCTCCAGGAGGAGGAAGAGGAAAGACAGGAAAGGGGGCTGACGTTCCTAAGGTTCTCATAGGCAGTAAAGGGTGTCCCCAGAGTAGTGGAGCTACTGGAGACCCTGTTTTTTCTTTCTATTTTACTTCCATTTCCCAACACACATTGGGTACTTTGTGCTTGGTAGGTATGGGTCTTAGGATGAAGGTTGGCCTTGAACTCCTGATTCTTCTGCCTCAACCTTGTCCCCCAAAGTTGTAGAATTACAGGAGTGTGCCACAATACCCAAGTCTGTTCACCTTGATAATCAATTAACCTAACATGTAACAGCCTGGATAATGTCAGTGAGCAGGGAAGTCTTTCCAGATCTGTGAAGAAGCAGGGGGACACCCAGAGCTGGATGGCAGAGGGTTGGGTCCAGCAGAAAGGGCTCTGAGCACTGGGTAGATGTTTGGACTGCCTCTGTGGTGCTGGAATTGAACCCAGTGCTTCATGTCTCCTAGACCCTTGAATCCTGAGCAACCTCCCCTGCCCATTTTTAGAACTTTCTTTTGCTAAGTCCGCCAAGCTGGCTTTGAACTGTCCATCCCCTTACCTCAGCCTTCCAAATAGCTGGACTTGTAGGTGTGTGTACTAGGCCTAGCTGTGATTGGCCTTTTTCTGATGGACACGCTGGGACATGGAGAAGATGAAGGGCTGTTATGCTTGCTCTGTGTAAATGGGAGAGAATGGATCAAGCCGGCCCATTTTTTTTCCTCCCTGGTAAGCAGTGCTCATGTCATTTCATTCTCGACAGCTTGAGCCCTGGGGCGGGCTCAGTGCAGCCATCTCTGGGACAATAGTGCTAGGCAGTGCCAGGTTGCTGCTGGCCAGTGCCCGGGCTGGGATGTGCTGTTGCTGCTGTGGCTGCTGCCCTCTGCTTGCCCACCTAGAGCAGGGGCCGCTTCGAGAGAGGGTGAGTGCTGGCAGGTGAAAGGCAGGGACCAGAGCAACTGGGATCTGTATGGGCAGTGGTGCCAAGGAGGGAAGGGGCTCCTAGAGCCCTTTTCTGGCCCCAGTCCTTTCTCCCTTAGCCACTCCCAGAAAAATTGTCCAGGCAGGTAGTACAGAGAGCCACATGGAAATAACCTGTCCCAGCTTTAGAAGGGATCTGTAATTTCTAGAGTGGCCCTTGCCAGGCGTGTGTTCTGTTTACTGCTATTCTCATGGTTGCTTGCTTTTTTGTTTTAAATTAAATTGTCATAAATATTCATACTTTAGATTGGTGTCCTAGAGAATGGTGGGAGGTCAAAGAGGTGAAGAGAAAGAGAGTATATGATAGTGAGAAGAGATATTTAGACTTGGCCTTTGAAGTCCCACAAGGTAAATTTGAGGTGACTTTCATCTAAAAACAATCCAATTAAAGAGCTGTACTTTCCCACAAGATAGCTGGAGAGCAGACCATTGAGAGACCTTTCTAGTGATTCAGGTTGGTAGGTGCCACCAGAGAAGAGAACACTCAAGTGACTGAGACTACAGTCTAAGGGAAGAGGAGTCAGCTGCAGGGACAGGAAGAGGGGGGAGGACCTGGGTATTAGGGGAGAAGCAGATACATGGCTGAGAGAAAGGTGGAGGCCAGGAGGAGGAGCGTCTGGGCCGAGAACTGAGACCTGAGGAGAGAAGACCAGGGCTGAGGGCGAGAAGAGGCAGGCTATGGGGAAGAGAAGCCCTGGCCTGGTGCTGCATGCCTGTAAATCCAGTACTTGGGTGGCTGAGGCAGGAGGATTACCTTTAGTTTAAGGCCAGACAGGTGAGACTCTGACTCAAACAAAACAAACAAACAAAAAAAAACAACAACAACAGACAGACAGTACAGTAGGAAACATTCTTGGTGGAGGTGCGGAAGGAGCATGAACGGAGTAATGCAAAGTAAATGACGTCCAGACCACTGTGCTCTGTCATCCTTAGGCTTCCCTGAGGACCGAGAGAGGGATCTTGGTCCAGGACACCCAGGACCTAGGGCACTGGGGTCCATTGCTCTCTGGGCCTGCACTGTTGACTCAGCACCTTTACACTTCCCATTTTTTCCCATCCTCCCCTTAGTGGCACAGGAGCTGATTGTCCAGGCCCAGGCTGAACACTTTTCATTGAATTGTGACTCTGTGTTAGGGTGCCAGGCAGTGTGCTCAACTCGCTGCTCCTATTCTCAGCCTTAGCCACTTGCGTGGTATCCTAGTCTTCTACTATCTTTAATTAAATTACTTAACTGATTGATTTAGATATAAGGTCTTACTATGAAGCTCTGACTGGCTTGTAATTTACTATGTAGGCCAGGCTGGCCCCAAACTCCTAGAGATCTGCCTTCCTCTCCCTCTGAGTGCTGGGATTAAAGCCATGTGTCACTGTACAAGCGGTCCTGCCCTTTCTAATTTCCTGGGTACATGCCATGGTTTGAATGTGGATGTTAGTTCTGGGCTCCTACCATGTGGGGCTTGGGGATTGACCTAGGGTCATCAAGCTTGGCAGCAGGTGCCTTTGCTTTTCTTGTCTACCCTCTTCTAAACTTTTTTCTTTTCTTTTTTTTTGGTGGTGGTGTTTTGAGACAGGGCCTTATATCACTATATAGCCAAGGATGTCCTTGAACTCCCAAGTTTTCTGTCTCCATTTCCTCAGTGCTGTCTGTGTATGAGTGTATGAGTATGTGTGTGTGTTGTGGGGTTTGTGTGTGTGTGTGTGTGTTTTGTTGTTGTTTTTCTGTGAGACAGTTGTTCTATAGCCCAGGCTTGCTGCGATATTCCTGTCTTAATCTTCCAAGCGCAGGAATTAGCAAGCATGAGTTACCACAGCTAGCATTGTCTTTTTACCTTCTCCAGCTTTTGGAAAAGTTAGGGGCTTGGAGAGAAACAGAAAAGAAGCCAAGGACTCCTCCAGAAGCTGGTGAAGTGGGAGAAAGCTTAAAGGCAAAGGTGTATCTCAGGAGCAAGAGGGAACACATCCCAGCACTGAGCAGTGGAGGCCAGAAGATCCAAAGTTCAAGGGTATTTTTGGGTACCTGAGCCCCCGCCCCCTACACACACACACACACACGCACACACACACACACACACACACACACACACAGAGTCAGAGAGGGATTTTTTGGGCTTTAAGTGAGTGTAAGTAGAAGAGTTAGAGGTTTGGGGGCCTGACCTCGAGGGTTAGGGGTGGCTGAAGAGGCATTCTGTCCCTCCAGCCACTCTAACGATGGGATCTTCTGCTTTCCCATCCCTGCTCCCCCATGACTGCTTTGAAGACAGCAGCTCCAACACCCGTTGTCATGGTTATGAGAGGAGCTAACTCCCATAGATTGGAAAGCGCTGGTGAGCTGGCACCCTCTGCTTCCCCGGTCCTCCCCTCTTTTCTGCGCATCTTCCCCCAGCACAGAGAAAGCATACAGCAGCCCGGGGGCGAGCAGAGCTAAGGCTGGGAGGTAGAGTGAGGACGCAGAGATCTAGAGCTAGGGAGATGAGTGGCAACAGGAGGCAGCCCAGCCGCCGGGGTCAGGTAAGTCAGAGGCCTAGGAGCATTTGGGACTGACTGACTGGGGCCTGGTCATGTCTGGACAGGTTATGCTTTGGCAATTGATGTCGTTCCGCCCTCTGTAGGCAGGCATTTCTTCCATGCCTCTGCTTTCATTCAGCCTGTTTCTGTGGACACCAGGTACAGAGGTGACTTCTAGCCTCACTTCTGTCTCTCAACCTTTGCACAGACCCGGGAAAAGGAGAAGATGAAGGAAGCCAAGGATGCCCGCTATACCAACGGCCACCTCTTTACCACCATCTCAGTCTCAGGCATGACTATGTGCTACGCCTGCAACAAGAGCATCACAGCCAAGGAAGCCCTCATCTGCCCAAGTAAGTTGTTTGACTCGATTACCATCAACCCCCACTTTTCCGTTTGTCCTTTCTACCTGGGATCCTGAAAAGGAACTCAGCTCTCTGGGGCCCGCTGGGCTCAAGTCCCACGCTCAGGTGTTTGGTCCCTTGCTGCCCTTCCTTATGCTGGGTGGTGGCTACTGGAATGTGGCATAAGCTGGTCTCTTGGGTGTGGGTTGACAGAGGCTGGGATGACTGTCCCTGCAGCTGTCGCTTGCTGCTTGCTTGGGTATCCCCCTCACTCTGAACAGCTGCTGACAACTCAGAGAATGAGCAGGAATGTGTGTACGAAGCAGGGTGGGAAAGGATTGGAGAGAAGCTGCCAGCCTTGCAGCTGCCTCTGCCCGTCTTCCCAGGCCCCACTGGACAGTTTACACCAGAATCCCCTTGTCCCAGCCTTTTTGTTGCATGTGGGTAAAAGCTGAAGTCTGCTGATTCAAGGACAAGATGGGATTATCTGTTTCTTTATCCCTGTAAAGAAATGCAGTAGAGACTTGTTCGATGGAGAGAAGGACTCAAAACTCCTCATCTTGCCCATGTCTAACCTTTATCCTGTCCCAGGGTGGCCCTGTACTGAAGGTGCATAGGGAGGAATTCCTGTCTCCTTAGGATACCAGTGCAGAGGGCTCCAGCTCTGCCCTGCCCCACCCCATGCCCGCCTCTGAGTAGAATGGGAGTGCTGTAGCCTGAGGCTGACCAGCACAACTCCTCTCTAGCCTCCAAATCCCTTTGGGACTTTGGGAAGGAACCTCAGAAAGAACCAAGAGGCCTACCCTCCCCCACTTCCTTACCAGTTAACGTAGAGCTAAAAGGATGAAGAGGTAACCCCAATCTAGATCCCTCTAGAGACCTGACAAAATACTCAATCCGGAAGCTTGTTGCCAGGGGAACTGGGGAGGTGGGTAGCACTATTTTGAGAGCAGGTGGAAAGCGGAGGTTTGATCCAGAGACACTAGGTGCTGGGGGTAGGGGAAGGGAGCTCCAGGAGGGTGGGCACTGCCACAGCCCTGCTTCTGTTGGCCCCTGCTGCCCCGCCCTGCGCGCCTTGTATTTGTGGAAGTGAGCGTGGTGCTGGGCATTGTCTGCCTGAGTTGGCAGTTTCCTGTGGGTTTAGCCGGAGTGGGGGTGGGGAGAAGACACTGCAGAGCTGAGGGTATGTCAGGAAGGGAACAGCCGTGGTCCTGAGCCCAGGCTCAGCTACTTTCATGGAGAGGTGGGGTGGGGGATGGGGAGAAGCAGATGGAGTGTGGGAGCTGTAGTTTGCTTCCATGGGGGAACAGAACTTCCCGGGCCTACGAGGAGAAAGCAGCCTGAATGGAGTTAATGCAGAAGGCTGCGAAGCTGGGGAAGAAGGGCTACTGGGTCTAGACTGAAGTGACGAGCAGGAGCCACTGGCATGTATGTGGAAAAGTGTGACTTTTGGATCTAAGTTTAATTCCTAGCTCTCCAGCAGCTGGCAGACCTAGGTTAGCCAATAGCATCTACACCAGATTCTTCATCTTCATCTGAAATGAGGGTTGTTGAGTGAATCAAGGAGGGAGTGTTCCTCAGGGATCAAGGGGCATTCTGGCTCTCTCTGCCACCTTCTGCTCTTGGGAGGCCCCATGCTCATCTGCCAGTGTCTTTTCCTTTGTGCTTTCTGCTCTTCTCAAGCAGCAGATGCCCTTCTTCCATCTGGTCCCCCTAGGCCAGAGGCCTTTCCCACCTTCTGGATGGTCCACAGCAGACTCCCCTCACTTCAATTCCTGCCTGAAGAAAAAGGGAGGCAAGGGAGGGATTGGCATGTGACAATGACCAAGAATGCTGGGAGAGTGTCTGCAGAATGTATGGCCTGGGAAGCTGGGTGTTTACACGTGGGTGTGTCCCCTCCTGTGCCATCCAGCCCTCCCTTCACCCTCTCTACCCCACCCTCCCAGCCTGCAATGTGACTATCCACAACCGCTGTAAAGACACCCTGGCCAACTGTACCAAGGTCAAGCAGAAGGTGAGATGGCAGGGTGGGCAGAGGGCTGGGGGAGAGGGCAGTGAGTGCTGTATCTCTGCTGCCTTTCCATTCATTCCCTACCCTGTGTCCCTTGCCTTGCAATGGGGGCAGTCCAGACCTGTGACCGTAGACCATAGGCCTACTGTCATAGCCCTGCAACACTAGTGCAACTACCCTGATGCCCTTAACTACAGTGCCATTTTCACCCAAGAGGGCAGCTGCCAGGTCCTGGCTTGTCCTGGGTGTATGGCAAGGTAGTTTCGGGGCGACAGCTGTTTTGGCATCTCTCTTTTGCCCTGTGTCTCACAGCAACAGAAAGCTGCACTGCTGAAGAACAACACTGCCTTGCAATCTGTTTCTCTTCGGAGTAAGAGTGAGTAACTTCCCAGAGCCCACCAACCTTCTGAGCCATGGGCTCTGCTGCCCCCCTGAGGACATACCCAGACACAGACAAGCTCCTTTTAAAAGGCAGTGCCTTGGGTGGGAGTGGCCTAAGGGATGATGGCTTAGTATAAAGACAGGTTAGTCCAAATAGGGATGAGGGACCAGGATGGCTGGGTACTTGAGCCTTGCCACATTCTGTTATAATAGCCACTTATCTGTATGTCATTTGGGGGATTATTTGTGGCAGCTGTCGAGTGTCAGTTCAGAAAAATCAGGGTGGACAAGTTCCTTCTCACCTGCTTGGGTCACCCCTGCCCGGTCTTACATTTTGCTTGGGAGTGGGAGGAAAGATAACCTCCTACAACAGTTTCTGGCTTTCAGTTTGCTCATCAGCTTCTCTGGGGTTGAAGAACATATCAGAATGGGCTCTAAATTCGTCCAGAAGGGTTGCTCAGTACCTTATCTTGATGGGTTTTGCCAACTTTCTTTGACCTTAAGAAGCTGAGGACAGGTTAGACAGTTCACCTTAGTTCCACTTGAGGAGCCTGGGAGACCACAGAGCCAAGGAATTAACTTTTTTCCTGCTTGGCCTCCTTTACAGCCACCACCAGAGAGCGGCCAACTTCTGCCATCTACCCCTCTGATAGCTTCCGGCAGTCCCTCCTAGGTTCTCGTCGGGGCCGCTCCTCCTTGTCTTTGGCCAAGAGTGTTTCCACCACCAACATTGCTGGGTGAGCTTCTATTTGGGGAGGAGGGAGTCTGGCAGGAGAGCAGTCCGTAGTCCAAGAGAGCACCATTTCATTCCTTAAGTTCAGAACTGGAGACAGATATGTGAAAGATAAGTTCAAACACAGTGTAGCTATCCGTAGGAGCCCATCCTGGGAAGGGACCTTCTGCCCGAGTGGGGGTGATGCAGACGGCCTCCACTTCCTTCAGACATTTCAATGATGAGTCTCCCCTGGGGCTGCGTCGGATCCTCTCCCAGTCCACAGACTCCCTCAACATGCGGAATCGAACCCTGTCTGTGGAATCCCTTATTGATGAAGGTGAGCAGACCCGACCCTGGGGGAGGAAGAGTGTTGGCATGGCTGGTGTGAGAAGCCTGGAAGGGGGAGAGAGGACCCAAGGAAGGGCCCAGGTCCTGGAGAGGAGAACTGGGCTCTGATGTCCCTCCTGTACCGATGCCCAGGTGCAGAAGTGATCTACAGTGAGCTGATGAGTGACTTTGAGATGGACGAGAAGGACTTTGCTGCAGATTCGTGGAGCCTTGCCGTGGACAGCAGCTTCCTGCAGCAGCATAAAAAGGAGGTGATGAAACAGCAAGATGTCATCTATGGTAAGCTAAGGACACGTTGGTCTTCCCTTCTCTTACCAGACCCTACTTACCTGCATCTTCCCTTTGCTGCCTACCTGTCCAGACACCTTCATCCTGTCCTTGGCCTCCATGTCCCTGGCTGGCACCAGGTTGGGTCTGTGCACCTACTTTTTCTTTTATTTTTTTCTGAGATAATAGTCTCACCATGTGGGCCAGGCTGGTCCTAAACTGTCAGTCCCCTTGCCTCAGCCTCCGGAGGCCTGAGGTTATAGGCATGTGCACGGCACGCAGCTCCCAAGGCCCCGTCTATACCTCTTCCTCAGCTCAGGCCTCAGTCTTCATTCTGCCTCTGCCCAGCACTGTGCTGGGAACTGGGAAACCTGTACACCTAACACACAAGATTCTTGCCCTAAAATATTAATGCTTGAAATAACAAGGCATAGAGATAAAAACAAATTAGAAAATAATCTAAGATGGCAGCGATGCAAGTATCAACGTGGAGGAAGTCTCCTCCACGTTGCCTAGGGCCGCAAGTGGTGTGCCTGAGGAAGAGTGCAGGGACAGATGTCATTTGTCTCATAGAGCTAATCCAGACAGAGCTGCACCATGTGAGGACCCTGAAGATCATGACCCGCCTCTTTCGCACTGGGATGCTGGAAGAGTTGCAGCTGGAGCCAGGAGTAGTCCAGGGCCTGTTTCCCTGCGTGGATGAGCTTAGTGACATCCATACACGCTTCCTCAGCCAGCTATTAGAACGCCGGCGCCAGGCCCTATGTCCAGGCAGCACCCGGAACTTTGTCATCCATCGTTTGGGTGACCTGCTCATCAGCCAGGTAGGAAAAGGCAGGACCCCTGGATGATGTTTGCAGAAGGAGTTAGGACAGGAGCGAGCATTTCTTTCTTTCTTTTCTTTTTTTTTTTTTTTTTTTTTTTTGGTTGTTTGGTTCTTTGAGACAGGGTTTCTCTGTGTAGCCCTGGTTGTCCTGGAACTCTGTAGACCAGGCTGGCCTAGAACTCAGAGATCCTACGTGGCTCTGCCTCTCTGGTGCTGGGATTAAATGCATGTGCCACCACCGCTTGGCTTGCATTTCCTGGTTTGAGACAGGGTCTTACCAAGTAGCCCTGGATGACTTGGAACTCACTATGTAGACCAGGCTGGCCTTGAGATCACAGAGATATACCTGCCTCTACTTCCCAAGTACTGGGATTATAGGTGCACACTACCATACCTAGGTATTTCAATAAGAAAATGTCCATGTGTGCGTGTATGAATTCAAGTTGTCAGGTACAATAACAAGTGTTTTTACTTGCTGGCCAAGGAGTGAGCAGTTTTTACCTCCCGCCAAACTCTGGTGGCCAGAAGGGAAGCGGGGAGAACCGGAGAGGAGGAGGCTGTCTAGCAGAGGGCCAGAGGTGTGCTCGGGGGTGGGGTGCGCCTCTGCAGCAAGTGCTGACCCAGTCTTGCTCTCCTGACTTCCAGTTCTCAGGTTCCAACGCGGAGCTGATGCGCAAGACCTACTCAGAGTTCTGCAGCCGCCACACCAAGGCCTTAAAGCTCTATAAGGAGTTGTACGCGCGAGACAAACGTTTCCAGCAGTTCATCCGAGTGAGCAAACATCTCCAAGCCCAGGCTCCGCCTTCTCAGAGCTCAAACCCAAACCTCTGGCCTCCTCAGGGGAGCAGATGGGAGTAGTGCATGCTTAGAGGGCAGCCACTCAAATACCCTTGTGGACTTTCGTGCTCTTAGATCTCTTTTGTTTGTTGAGACAGGGTCTCTCTATGCATCCCTGGCTGTCATGGAACTCACTGTGTAGCCAAGGCTGGCCTCAAAACTCACAGAGATCTACCTGCCTCTGCCTTCCGTGTTCTGTTATTAAAGGCTGTGCCACCATGCCCAGCTCACTCTTAGATCAACAGCCATTCCTCACTGGGCAAGAGCACATTGGACTAGTTTTCTGTCTTTATTGGTTTGATCATTACCACAGACCTATGACATTTTCTTCCTCGTTTCCCAGAAGCTGACCACCTAGGCTAACATGGGGCAGGTGCCAGGGTGGGCCGGCTTCAGAGCCTGGGCTTCCGGTCTTTCTGTCCCCTTAGTCTTTCGTCTTCCCTTACAGAAAGTGACCCGCTCAGCTGTGTTGAAGCGTCATGGGGTTCAGGAGTGCATTCTGCTGGTAACTCAGCGGATCACCAAATATCCAGTACTCATCAACCGAATCCTACAGCATTCCCACGGTGAGGAAGAGCCTGCCTGGGGACATCTGGGGGGGAGCAGCTGGTGGAGGTGGGGGGTGCTCTGAGCAGTCTCAGGTAGAACTGGGTTGGAATGGCACCAGCTGAACTGTATTTCATGCTTGCCCTCTGTCACCAGGGATTGAAGAAGAGTGCCAAGATCTGACAACAGCCCTAGGACTGGTGAAGGAGCTGCTGTCCAATGTGGACCAGGATGTGCACGAGCTCGAGAAAGGGGCCCGCCTGCAGGAGATCTACAACCGAATGGACCCTCGGGCCCAGACCCCCGTGCCTGGCAAAGGCCCCTTCGGCCGAGAGGAGCTTTTAAGGAGAAAACTTATCCATGATGGCTGTCTGCTCTGGAAGACAGCCGCAGGACGCTTCAAAGGTCAGTGGCCCTCTTGGCAGACATGATAAGTCATAGGTAGGTTATCTGAATGGAAGGTGCAGCTGCTCTTAGGGACTGTTTTTACAGCCTTTCACTTAGAGTGAGATTCAGAGGAAAAAGATCTAAACTCTACATTTGATGCCATGGGCCAGTTGGGGACTTCTTTATTGGAATGCATTTATTTTTGTAATCTGTGATGCCCAGAGAACCACCATTCTAATTAAGAGGACCTAGAGACACAGATCAGAAGATTCCTTCCACCACAGTCTCAACAGAAATACATCTGGGAGACCCAGAGTGGGAACTGAACACTGTGAAGGACAGGGAAACTGGAGAAGAGAGATCAGAGTACAGGGCTCTGCTGGGGGCTGGGTTTTTAGAATTTATCTGCACTGCTAAAGTCCTTGCCCTTAAATCAGAACAAGAAAATAGCACCTTTAAAGACCTCAGTTTTAGAGGTGAAGAATGGGGGCTACCCAAAGCCAGACTCATATGAAATTCCACCTGTGCTGTGAAATTCCTACTCCTAGGGCCTGGGTACTGTCAGTCTTTACCAGGCTCTTCTCTCCATCCATTTCTCTCCTTCCCATCCCTCCCACGCAGCAGCTAAGAATATAAGGCATTGAGGGTTAAAAATAGCAAGGCTGGAGAGCTCTATTTCTGAGCGATTAGCAAAAGCCCTCCCCTTCTGTGTCCACAGTTTAGCAAAATCCTCACAGGCAAAGGGTGACTGTGTTCTTGACTATGGCATTCAGGTCTTAAAGAATTGGTCCTTGGTTTTTCCCTTCCTTTGAGTGCAGGATCCATGAGGGTCTGAGAGCCTCGGGCGGGGGGGGGGATGGGGTGGGACAAGAGAAAATGAAGCAGGGCCTGCTGGAGTCAAAGGACATGAGATCAGTCAAAGGTGATGGGTGGAGGGGTGGCCTTCATTTTACTTTACTGGAAGGAAACCAACTTTGTCCTTCTCTTGTGCAAAAAGTAAGAAGCAGGAATATGTCAGTGCATTTTAGATACCTTAAAGGATATCGCATTGGGGGTGCTATAGAGATGGCTCAGAGGTTAAAGAGCACTGGTTGCTCTTCCAGAGGTCCTGAGTTCAATTCCCAGCAACCACATGGCATCTCATGACCATCTATGATGAGATCAGGTGCCCTCTTCTGACATGCAGGCAGAACAGTGAATGCATAATAAATAAATCTTAAAAAAAAATGCCATTGGTCAGATGCCAGACATGCAACTTAAAGCCTAAGGACATAACCCTCATTGTAGAAAAGTCTTGGCTCAAGCTAGGCCTGGCTGTACTTGCTTGTAGTTCCAACTATCCAAGAGCTGCAGGCAGGAGGATTGCTTGCACCTGTATATTAATTGTCCTAGCATTGGGTATATCTAGAGCTCTACAGAGCCTCTAGAGCAAACAGTGGCTATGCTGGGGCGTGGCTGAATCAGGCTGTAGAGGTGACTCAGGCCTTAGGAGCACTTGTTTTTACAGACACAGCAGCTTACAGTGTACAACTAACTCCAGTTCTGGGGAATTTGTCGCCCTCTTCTGGCATCTGTGGGCATTGCATGCACGTGATGCACATACACACATGCAGGCAAAACATTTACACATACAAAACACACTCAAAAGGATCAGAACTGGGCTGGGTGAGGTGATGCACGCCTTTAATTCCAGTGCTCCAGAGGCAGAGGTAGGTGGATCTCTTGAGTTTGAGGTCAGCCTGATCTAGACAGGGTGAGTTCCAGGACAGCCAAGGCTACACAGAGAAACCCTGTCTCAAAAAACCAAAAACACAGAGCAAAACAAAAAATAATCAAAACTAGGTGTTTTGATTTGTTGTTGTTGTTGTTTTAATTCATTTTGTAAGACAACGTCTTGCTATGCAATTCCTAGCAGGCCTGGAACTTACTGTGTAAACCAGGCTGACCTCAAACTTATTCTGCCTGCTTCTGCCTCTTGAGTGCTGGGATCACCACACCTGGCCAAAACTGCCTGATTAAAAAATAATAATAACAAATCTGAACCATTTGCGGCAACAGTTCCATTGTGTCCCTGCTACCAAAGAGATGGTTTTGTCTTATAGCACAGGAATCTCTCTCTTCCCCTTCATTTCCATGCTGTATGAATTAGGCCACCGTGCCTTGTGGTGGTGGCACACACCTTTAATCCCAACATTCTCTGAGGCAGAGGCAGGTGGATCTCTGAGTTTGAAGGCAGCCTGGTCTATATAGTGAGTTCCAGGACAGCCAGGGCCACATAGAGAAACCCTGTCTTGAAACACCAAAAGTAAACAAATGAATGAATGAATGAATGAATAAAGTGAAAAAGGAAAGATAAAAGAAAGGAAGGAAGGAAGGAGGAGGTTGGAGGTCAGAAAGAATGAAGGAAGCAATGGTAGGGAATACAGGCCTGCTGCAGGGGACTGGAAAAACAGCCTGATAAGGTGGATCTAGTCCTCAGGAAGCAGGCCAATCGTTTGTTTGAGCCTTTAGTTCTCTGACCATTTTCCAATTTTTTGTCTTGGCCAGATGTGCTGCTCCTGCTGATGACAGATGTGCTAGTGTTTCTCCAGGAAAAGGACCAAAAGTACATCTTTCCTGCCCTGGTGAGCCTGCCTTCTGTTCTCTTATCCATTGCTTTTCTCACCAAGCCCAAGACAGTCTTATGGAGTCAAATACCTGTTACAGCTGTGACTTCTATGTAATAAAAAGTGAGGTAACAGCCGGGTGCTATTGCTGTGCACAAGCATGTTTACCCTGGGAGGAGAGCCGTCATTGGCGTCATTTTGTAGATGGTGAATGTAAAGCTTAGAGGCCAAACATGGAGGCACATGCCTGTAATTGCAGCACTTGGGAGTTTGAGGCAGGAGGATCAGGCATCCCGGGGCCTCCTTAGCCACGTGCTGAGTTCAAGTCTAGCCTAGGCTGCGTGAGCCCCACCTCTACACAATAAGTAAGTGGGTAAACTCTCTGCGGGACTGCTGGAGCACACCTTTACTCCCGGCACCTGGTAGGCAGTCACGGCAGATCTTTGATTTCAAGCCAGCTTGGTCTGTATGGCAAGTTCCACACCAGTCAAGGTTCATAATGAGACCCTGTTTCAAAAACAAGAAAAGTAAAGCAGGCACAAGCCTATATTCCAGTACTGGGAAAACAGGCATGAGAATTCCAACTCTGAGGCTAGCCTGGGCTGCATAGTGAGTTCAACACCAGTTTAGGTTACATACTGAGACCCAGGAGAAACAGACAGACAGATGCAGAGAGAATCAAGGGTCCCACATGCACTTCTAAATCTTCACTAGTACTAATGCTTGGGCTCTTCCATATATAGCATCATCTTCAACTATTTTGTTATTCTAAAACTGAAAACCCAGAATGTAAGGGTGAGAATTCCTAGTGTTGGGGCCAGAGTGATGGATCAGAGGTTAAGAGCACTGGCTGCTCTTCCAGAAGACCTGAGTTCAATTCCCAGCAACCACTTGTTGGCTCACAACCATCTATGATGAGATCTGGGGCCCTCTTCTGGCGTGCAAGTGTACATGCAGACAGAACATTGTATACATAATAGATACATCTTTTAAAAAAAAATTCCTAGGCTTAATTCTTCATTTTCCCTAATAGGACAAGCCTTCGGTGGTGTCCTTGCAGAATCTGATTGTAAGAGACATCGCCAACCAGGCGAAAGGGATGTTTCTGATCAGTGCCGGCCCGCCTGAGATGTATGAGGTGCACACAGCGTCCCGAGATGACCGCAGTACCTGGATCCGCGTCATTCAGCAGAGCGTGCGCGTGTGAGTGTGTACCCGCTGCCTGTGTGTGTTAAGTCCTCAGGTCCTCGGCAGAATACTTCCTGGGAGCAGAACCCATCATGAGCGGCTAGGCGGAAGCTAGAAATAGACAAGCTAAAAAGGCCACATGAAAAGTCGTAATTCATATTCAGACAAGCCGGCTACCATATCGCTGTGAGCTGACAAAGGGATGTGTCGAGCTGAGATAGGGTGGTAGCATGGCTGCCGTCAGGTGACACAGTGTCCGCTGTGCTGATGTCGCTGGTAACAGAAACAAGGCTCTTACCTGAGTTATGTTGCATTTTACCTTCATTTTCTAAAAATGGAAGAATAGGATGATTAAAGCATTGATATTAGTGAACTGAATGTGTTTTATTCATAAACTCCAAACAGTAGATGCGAGAAGTAAATCAGTTGTGCTAAAGCAGTTAATGCTTAGGACAGCCACTGGACTTGAAATTGTCAGCCAGTGTCTAATTGCAATAGGGGAGAAGTAAAAGCTCACCAAAAAATGTTGAAAATTGCCTCGTGTGGCATGAATGTCTGTAACCCAGAAAGTGGAGGCAGGATTCAGAGTTAAAGGCTAACCCTGATGTATAAGGAGTTCAGGACCAGCTTGGCCTGAGGTCCTGTCTTAAAAAAATATAAAACAGGCCAGGCAGTGGTGGCGCATGCCTTTAACTCCAGCACTTGGGAGGCAGAGGCAGGCAGATCTCTGAGTTTGAGGCCATCCTGGTTTCCAGAGTTCCAGGACAGCCAGGGCTATCTCAGAAAAACAACCAAACCAAAGACTACAATAGAGTTAGTGATGTAGCTCAGTTGGTAGAGTCCTTGCCTAGCATTCTAGAAGCCCTGGGTCCCATCCCATCACCACATAAGTCACCACAGAGGACCAGAAGTTGAAAACAGTAACAACAAAGAAGTTGAAGACTGCTCACTGAACTCTTTTTTTTTTTTTCTCAAAGCTAGAGAGTGAATGCAGGGCCTGTGTTTACCAGGCCTAGGGCAACATCCCCAGGGAGGGCGTGTTCTAACCTTTATGAGCGTTGGGGGCAGGGTATAGTGATACGTGGGTAATTGGTGCAAAGGCTGAACAAAGCCGCAGTGTGAGGAGAATGATCTCTCTAGAGGAGGTTCCTGTGGACCATGTGCAAAGGAAGGAAAGCTGATTGCTGGTGTTTTTTCCACAAATCCAACCTGCCTGTTGCCCAGCAGATGCCCATCCAGGGAGGACTTCCCTCTGATTGAGACGGAGTTTGAGGCCTACCTCCGGAAGATCAAGAGTAAGTTCCCGCCAGAGACAGGCTGATTTATGGCATATCCATACAAAATGCAGTGCTACTTGGGAAGACAAGAGGGGGTCCGGAGGTGGCTCGGGGGTTAAGAGCACTGGCTTCTCCTCCAGAGGACCCAGGTTCGATGCTCAGCACCATGGTGACTCACAGTTGTCGTTATTTCTCTCCTTCCTTCCTTCCTTCCTTCCCTCCTTCCTTCCTTTCTTTCTTGTCTGTCTGATATGAGACAGGGTTTTTCTGTGTAGCCTTGGTCGTCTTGGACTTGCTTTGTAGACCAGGCTGGCTTCAAACTCACAGCCATATATATGCCTGCCTCTGCCTCCCTGAGTGCTAGGATTAAAAGCATGTACCACCTTTGCAAAACTTTTTTTTTTTTTTTTAAGATTTATTTATTATTTATACATGTACACCTGCACACCAGAAGAGGGCATCAGATTTCATTACAGATGGTTGTGAGCCACCATGTGGTTGCTGGGAATTGAACTCAGGACCTTTGGAAGAGCAGCTGGTGCTCTTAACCTCAGCCATCTCTCCAGCTCTGAAAAACTCTTATATACATTTAAAAAAAAAATCAGTCTCAAGGGAAAAAATAAATCTTGGGAAAAAGCTGAAAACTTCATATAGGCTGATAGAGGTTTATCCCAAAATACATTGTTAAATGAAAAAAGCCAGGTTTAAATAACGTGTTATGCAACAGTTTTGTAGGATTAGTGCAAATAGATGTGTGCAGGTGTTTATAATAAGAGACAGAGTATCTAGTAGCTAATACCTCTCTATCGCAAGAGCATCTAATGCCCTCTTCTGGCCTCTGAAGGTATAGCCTGCACGTGGTACATAGACATGCATGCAGGCAGAACACCCATACGAATAAAAATAGAGGTTGATGCCAGGCTTGATGGCACAGGTTTTTAATCCCAGCACCTCGGAGGCGGAGGCAGGAGGATCTCTGAGTTTAAGGCCAACATGATCTGCAAATCTAGTTCCAGCACAGCCAGGGCTACACAGAGATCGCCTGTCTCAAACAACAAACAAAAGTTAAGTGCTTTTTCTGTTTGTTGCTTTTTTTACTGAGAGCAGGGTGTGGCGGTTCACACTTGTAATCCCAGCATTTAGGAGGCAATGGTAGGATCAGGAATTCCAGGTTGTTTTAGTTCTTTTTATATTGCTGTGCTGAAACACCATGAACATGCAGGCAGTGGTGGCGCACGCCTTTAATCCCAGCACTTCAGAGGCAAGAGGCAAGCCAGTCTCTGAGTTCGAGGCCAGCCTGGTCTACAGAGTGAGTTCCAGGACAGCCAGGGCTACACAGAGAAACCTTGTCTCAAAAAGCTAAAATAAAAAATAAAAAGCCCACCATGACCAAGGTAACTTAAAGAAGAAAGGATTTCTTTTGGGCTTGCAGCTCTAGAGGGTAAGGGTTTCGTTAATGGTGGGAACAGCTGAGACAGTGTGGGTCTTTTGAATCCCCAAAGCCTGCCCCCAGTGACACTTCCTCCAGCAAGTTCCCACCTCCTCATCCTCCCAGCCTGTGACCAACTGGGAACTAAGTATTCAAATGCCTAACCCTTATGGGAAACGTCTCATTCAAACTACCGCAAAGGATATCCTCAACTATATATGTATCTTCTTTCTTTTTTTTTAAAGGAGTCAAGTTAAGTTGGTCATATAGCGTGTCTAACTGCAGGTCACTCTGAGAGCATCTACACATGCTCTAATTAACGTGGAGAGGATGAGGTGGGCATCCTAACCCCTTATAAACAAAAGTCAGGATGATTTGCACCACACACAGAGGTTTGCTTTGTTTTGGGGAATGTGCCACGCCTAAAAATTAAGTCCCGCCTCTGCCCACGCTGCCCCGCTACCTGGGCCGCCCCTTTACGGCCGTTTGCGTCCGTGGGCCATTCCTTCCACACTCGCCTGTTGCCGTCCACAGTGGAACTGCAGCAGAAGGACCGCGCGCTGGTGGAGCTGCTGCAGGAGAAGGTCGGGCTGTTTGCCGAGATGACCCAGTTCCAGGCAGAAGAAGATGGTGTGGGTGGGATGCCCCTGCCCACCGTGCCCAGGGGCCTCTTCCGCTCTGAGTCTCTGGAGTCTCCTCGGGGCGAGCGGCTGCTGAGAGATGCCATCCGTGAAGGTGAGGGCTCTCCCACTGAAGTGTCTAGGCTGTTGACTGAGCATCACAGAGCAGGCCCTAAACCAGGACCATGTCAGCTCATAAATTCCTCTGAGGCTTTATCCTGGTCCAGTTCCTGGGAGGAACAGGGGAAGAGATCTGACCTTATTATTGCATGCATCTCCCTCTGGCAGGCAGTGCTACCTCTTGGGCATCTTTGATGTCCCTTGGATGCCACATGGCCGACTGAAACCCCACTACCCAAATGTGGACTCCCTAAGTGCTTGAACATCTTTGTGTTGGGTGAATACCCATGGGATTTTGTCTCCTGTCCCCACCTCCTCTTCTTTCCCTTCAGTGGAAGGACTCAAAGACCTGCTGGTGGGGCCTGGTGTGGACCTACTTTCGACTCCCCGAGAACCAGCCTTGCCCTTGGAATCTGACAGTGGCAACACCAGTCCTGGGATCACTGCCAGTGAGTACAGGCCATGACAGCAAGATGGGTGTGGCTAGAGAAGGGACAAGGGTTTTGGGGTCCCAGAAGTATGCTCTGCTCCTTCTTCTCTCTTCTGTAACAGATGGAGAGGCCAGAACCTTCAATGGCTCCATTGAGCTCTGTAGAGCAGACTCAGATTCCAGCCAGAAGGTGGGTTCTCGGGAGAGTCAGAAAGGGGTGAGAGGAAGATCACAGCTGGCCTGTGGACCTTCAATAGAAAGCTGCTGGTCCAGGGCCCCAGGTCTGTGCCTGCCAACTCCCTATTCTTGTTTATTTCTGCAGGATCGGAATGGAAATCAGTTGCGGTCACCCCAGGAGGTGAGATGGGAATTCTTTGGTAGAGGAGACAGAGGGAAGGTGCCCTCTGCTGAGACATTATAGCCCAGTTTGGTCGAGTTAGGGGAGAATCTGTACTTTAAGTATGTCTCCACACCCTCTCGATAAACTTCTGGGTACTTATTCCATCCTCTCCCCTGTCCTCAGGAGGCCTTACAGCGATTGGTCAATCTTTATGGACTTCTACATGGCCTGCAGGTCAGTGAGCAAGGGCTGCAATGGGGAAGATAGGGAGGAGCCAGTGATTCTAACAGGCTTAAGTACCCCCCAGGCAAGCTCCCCGGGTCCCCAGGATTGAGAGAAAGGTGAGTGGAAATGGCTTCTGAAGCATTTTGGCCTCATCCCACCCCCAGGCTGCTGTAGCCCAGCAGGACACTTTGATGGAAGCCCGTAACCTTGAGGGCCCTGAACGGTGGGAAAAGCTCTCCCGAGCCAACTCTCGGGACGGTGAAGCTGGCCGGGCTGCGGTTTCCCCCGTGGCTCCTGAGAAGCAGGCTACAGAGCTGGCACTGCTGCAGCGGCAACACACCCTGCTTCAGGAAGAGCTGCGCCGATGTCGGCGGCTCGGCGAAGAGCGGGCAACTGAAGCCGGCAGCCTGGAGGCCCGGCTCCGGGAGAGCGAACAAGCCCGGGCCCTGCTGGAGCGGGAGGCTGAAGAGGCCCGAAGACAGTTGGCTGCCTTGGGCCAAAACGAGCCACTCCCAGCAGAAGCCCCCTGGGCTCGCAGGCCTCTGGACCCTCGGCGCCGCAGCCTTCCAGCAGGCGATGCTCTGTACTTGAGCTTCAATCCTCCTCAGGTAAGGCTGCTGAAGTGACATGCCATGAACCTGAAGGACCCTTAGCTGTGAGGATTTGAGCCCAAGGGATAGCAGGCAACAGATTTGAATGACAGTGCTCGTTGGGCTGTGGGAATGTCTCGTTTGGTAAAATGCTTGCTAACATGAGAACCCAAGCTCAGTCAACCAGAACTGTTACAAGCTCGATCAACCAGAACTGTAGTTCAGAGTCTGATGGTTCATGCTCATGATCCCAGTGCTGAGGAGGAAGGACAGGTTCATCCTCTCAGCTCGCCCGCCAACCAGCCTAGCCTATTTGGTGAGTTACAATAGGAGACCCTGTCTCATAGAACAAGGTAGATTACATTTTTTTTTGGGGGGGGGGTCATTCTAGACAGGGTTTATCTGTGTAGTCTTGGCTCTCCTGAAACTCACTCTGTAGTCCAGGCTGACCTCTAACTCACAGGCTGCCTCCACCTCCTGAGTGCTGGAATTAAAGGTGTGTGCTGCCACAAGGCTAAAGTGAACGACTCTTCAGGGATGACACCTGGAGCTGGAGCTCAGTGGTTAAGAGGCTGGTCTTCCAGAGGACCCGGATTCAATTCCCAGCACCCACATGGCAGCTCACAACTATCCGTAACGCCTGTGTCTAGGGGATTCAACACCCTCATACAGACACATGGAGGCAAAACAATACACATAAAATTAGAAAGAAAGGAAAAGAAATAATCACACTGCCTCTAGCCACATCATCTTTCAGGCTGGAGATCAGCAATTAAAAGAGCACTGACTGCTCTTCCAGAAGACCCAGGTTCAAATCCCAGCACCTACATGCAGTTCCAGGGATCTGGCATCCTCTCTCACACACATACACCCGGGCAAAACACCAACACACATAAAATAAATCTAAAAGAAAAAACAAGGAATGACACCTGAGGCTGATGGTGAAAGCGAAACAGGAGGCACATTGTTATTAAGTAGTAACGTTGGTATACATTGTTATTAAGTCTCCAGACCTTTCAAGAATAAGTTTCTTTTCTCTAAACCTAATGTATCCTGCAAACCTTGTTTTTCAATCTATGCTGACCTTGTAAGCCCGGGATGTTATCCCAGCCCTTTGCCTTGCTAAACTCCTGAACACATTCCCGCACTTTTCTATCCCACAGGCAGCCTAGAGCCCCGAGTCCCCCATTCTTCCTCGCTCTTGGTGCTAACAGTAGCCAACTCTCTCAACAGCTGTTTTCTATCAACCCTAACCCTTTCCCTAAAAGGGACCCCAAAAGCTCTCTGAAACACCGATATAGGGGGAGGTGATCGTCTTGCCAGGCCTTCGTGCACTTCTAAAGACATCTTATTTTAGTCAGACAGCTGTGGAAATGGCTTTTCCTCAGGTCTAACATGACCTCTGGCTTCCTTAGACATGAGTGCACACATACAAAAAGATTTAAGGCTCAGTTCAGTGGCAGAGGCCTATGCAGAGCTCTAGCACTTTCAACGAACAAATATGCTCTGCTCTCCCAAGATTTCTGGTAGTAGTCTCTGTGGGCATTATGGGTACCTGGAGTTCTTGCATGTGAAGGCTGAGACTGGAGGACCAACTGAGCCCAGCGGATATAGAGTGTTCAAGGCAGACAAGACGGTTATCTCACTGAGTGGTAGATCTACTGAGGGGGAGTCGTTGGTAAACCCCCAGATCTGAGGCGTGTGGGGCTCCAGAGGGCTCATTGCCTGCAGTGTTCACAGCAGACTTGTGCTTTGCTTTTCTTAGACCAGTCGAGGCCATGACCGTCTGGATTTGCCTGTGACTGTTCGTTCCCTCCCCCGACCCTTTGATGACCGGGAGAGGCAGGAGCTTGGAAGCCCCGAGGAGAGGCTGCAGGACAGCAGTGACCCTGACACTGGCAGTGAAGAGGAAGGCAGTAGCCGCTTGTCTCCACCGCACAGCCCACGAGGTGAGACCCTACTGGGGCCATGGGGTCTGCGTCCGAGCTGTTGGGGGTGAGGCTTCTGAATTTAGGTGGCTCCTGAGGAACTCGTGTGAAGCAGTGCTTTCCCATTGGCAGGTCACTCCAACCTTTACAAGTAGTAGAAATCCGTTCTAAAGTAAAACGGTTTACACAAGATACTCAAATACCTCTTAGAGTTTGCTGCCCAAGGGTCATCCCACCAAGGTGCTCAGAGGCCCCACCCCACACCCTAGGGTCCTTGAGTGAGTGTGCTACTCCTCATGGAAGATCCTGCTTGCTCTCCCCTCACCCCTGTGCCCTGTCTGTCCTCCTCCAGAATTCACGAGAATGCAGGACATCCCGGAGGAGACAGAAAGCCGAGACGGCGAGCCTACAGCCTCAGAGAGCTAAGGGGACACTTCCGCCCTGCCTGATGCCCCACTGAAGAACATTAGTTAACGGGGCAAACCTTGGGGACTCCGTTCTGCCAATAATGAGGGAATAGTTGAAAGAACTCCTGATTGTCCTTGCCAGCTCCTGGGATCCGTGGATACCTGGGGCCCATGTAGGAACCGGGGGATTTAGAGGCCACAGTACCCTTGGTGGCATCCAAGAGCTACACCACAGATGCCAGTTTTTCATGCCTTCTTCCCTCTACTTAGCAAAAATTATTTATTTATTGTTTATTGGTTATGGGGGAGAGTGATTTAAAGGACCAGGGACACGGGAACCAAGCCATAGGGATTGCAGGGCCTCTCCTTTAACACCGCCGGGGGATGTTTAGGCCTAACTCCTGCCCCAGTGACACCCATTTGTGGCCACAGAGTCCACTGCCCCATTAAGGAGGGGTGTAGGTAGGACCGTGTCCCTTTCCCCACTCCCCGTAGCCTCCTCCTGCTGGTCTTCCTTCTCTTCATCCTCCATGGAAATCTGCCTCCTTGGAGTTGATGAAGTAGAGGCTAGGGTAGCCATAATGTATTGGGGTGGGAGAAGAAAAATCCACAGGGACCAGAATATTTTTTTTGTTCATTTTCTTTTTTTGTACCAAAGCCAACTGCACGTGTTTTATATTTTTAAAAGAAGATTGTAGGCACTTCTAGCTCCATGTCTTTGAACTTGAGGAATTGGGGAGACTGACTTTCATCTACAGTCAGGGGGCTCCTATTCGGAATTCTTCCTCAGCCATTTGAAAGAAGCTCTAAGGTGGGTTGGGAAACCACTAGAACTTTCCCCTCACCTCCCACCATGGCAACTACAGTTGAAATGTAAGCAAGAATTGAGGGGTTGGGGGATTTCTTCAATGCAACCCTAATGCCCACCAGCGATAGCCATTTGTCTGCCAATTTAATTGTCAAAAAACAAAACAAGACAGAAACAAAGGAAGACAAAAGAAAAGAAGAAGAGCTCAAGCAGGGAAAAATTAAAAACCTAAACCACGCGAGGTGCTGTCTCAATGCCCATTCTGAGGGTCGCAGTGCCTGCAGCCAAGCAGTGACTACTGTTTCTGTAAAGGGGCTGTCACTACCTCACAGAAGAGGGCACTAGCAAATGAAGCTGCTCAAGCCCTTGTTAAAATCTCAGAATTACAAGGATGAAAATGAAGCGACACTCAGCCTCCAGTGGCTGTTAGAAAACTCTTTTGCATCTTATTTGTATGCTCTGCTTGGATATCACATCCAACTCTTGCCACTCCTCTAGTTCCTCGACCACCTCCCTTCCCTGTTGACCCCACCCCTCACCCCCTACAGGGGTTTTACTCCCACAGCTTCAGAGCTCAGGGCTGAGTTCTCACAGCAGCAGCCTGTTGAGGCCGTTTCTTGGAGAGGCAGTAACTGCTTTCAGTTCTTGGTTTGGGTTCATTTCACTTCCTGTTTCTAGGCCCTACACTGGGGCTGTAGGCAGGGCTAGTGCCTGCACACTCCACTGCTGTGAGGTAGGGTGAAATGCAGTGTCTCAGGACCCCAGCAGAAAAGGGGAATTGAAATTGCATGGGCAGCAGGCTCTGTGGGGCTGCTGGCACTTCCCCTCCATGAGCCTCTCGCCCTTATGATGCACTTGCTGTCCAATCATGGGACTCTTGGGCCATAGGAATTGTTTTACATGTTTTCTTATTTACTCTAGTATTATCTTTGAGACAAGGTCTTGCAGTGAAGCCCAGGCTGGCCTTGGCCTCACAGCAGCCCTCTTGCCTCAGCCTCCCAAATGTTGGAATTACAGGCATGAGCCATTGTGCCCTGCCTACATTATTATTCTTTTACCCAGTGGGTGCAAAGAAATTGCCAGGCTAAGAAGCCAGCCCTCAGTTCCTCTGCCTTACAAACAGCAGCACTTCAGTTTCAAGCATGCCAGGTTCCGGGCAGCAACCGGGTTCTAGGAAGCAATAAACATCTGGAGCCCAAACATGAAAAGGTCAGGTGGAGCCTGTGCTAGAGTCTGGAGAAAAGGAGCACAGTTTCCCAGCATTTCCCGAGGGACCAAGACAAAAACCTGGGACCCGGGTCTGAGAAGCTGGGTTCCTTCTGCTGCCTTATTACCATAGCCCCACCCCATCATCAGCCCAGAGCCTTTCCCACCCTCCTTGTCCTTTGATCTTCCCCTTCCCAAATTCCACTTTCTGAACCTAATGTCTTACATTTTGTCCCCTCTGCTGCCATTTCAAAGCCCTGTGACTGTGCTCTGGGAGGCAGGGTTCAGCTCCTTGCCTAATCATCCTGCACCCTTAGAGGAGGTGCCGAGCATTCCATCGTTCACGCTCTTTTCATCTTCACGCTGCCCCATCAAAAGGAGGGCTACACACAGTTCCTTGAGTTGGTTTTGTCAATATTTCCCCCCTGAGGTTCTGTGAAGCCGATGTCCCCCAAAACGGCAGTATCTGGCCCTAGCCAGGCCATCAGAGGTGCTGCTGGGGGCAGAGGGGAAAATGCTTAGGTAGGGGAGGAGTGCCCACCTTCCTGGGTAGCTAGGAATAGACCTGGCATTTTGGAGCCAGTTTAAACATCATCATAAAGCGGAAATTAAACATCAAGAGGCTAATTAAGTCTTGCTCCCATCCTTTTAATATGTTGTGAGTTGGATGACTCTTACATGCTTCTCGGCAACTGGGTGGAACAGGCAGTGGAGCCTGGAAGTATTGTGGCTTCTCCTCCACAGGTGCTGCTATTCTGGGCCTGAGGGGCTAGTCACATCCTGGTTACAGAGCATCCCCAGAGCCTGGCCCTGAAGGGAGGGATGGAATAGGAGCTTCGTCCATCTGCTGCCTACTCTTTATTCAGGAAGCAGCCCCCAGCAAGATCCTTCCCGATGGTCATTATGATTTTAAATGACTATGGAAACCAAAGGGGAACCCACTGCTCAAGAGGTACTTGCAAAGGGGGTTTGGAAGGACTAACCCTTTAGTTAGTGTCCATCTCTGCAGAGCTTGATGTTGGTTTCAACCTTGCTTGTTCTTCACCTTGTTTTTTGAGACCAAGTATGTCAGTGAAGCTGTGAGCTTGCTGACTGCCCAGTGAGCCTCAGGGATCCTCCTGTCTTCCTTCCAGCACCCCTGTATCCAGTGTTTTGTATATTGCATGCTAGAGCTTGAACTCAGGTACTCAGTACATTTGCTCCAAGTACTATACCCAGCTATCTCCCTGTATTTGTTTCTGTTGTTTTTCTAATTTTAGAAAGTGTTTGTGTGGTGACATGCATGTCAGAGCACACGGGTGGAGGTTAGAGAACACCTTTGCATTCTTGGGTCTCTCTCCATCCACCTTTATGTGGATTTGACAACCCAACCCAGGTTGCCAGGCTTGTGTGCCAAGTATTTCCCCTGCTGTGCCATTTTGCCAGTCCTTATGTTATTATGTATGTATGTTTATGGTGTGCATGTACAGGTATGCACAACCAGGTCTTTTTTTTTTTTTAATTTTTATTTTATGTGCATTAGTGTGAAGGTACCAGATCCCTTGAAATTGGAGTTACAGACAGTTGTGAGCTGCTATGTGGGTTCTGGGAATTGAACCCGGGTCCTTTGGAAGAGCAGACAGCGCTCTTAACCACTGAGCCATCTCTCCAGCCCGAACCAGGTCATTTTATGTGAGATCTTCATTATACTCCATAAACCAGGACAAGACCTCGATGGCTCCCTTAATACCTGTCTGCCAGCCGCCCTTATTTTCTCCTTCCCATTTTACAGGGAAGGTGAAAATACTAGTAACACTGCCTCTGGCACTGTTGAATTCCAACATCCTTCTTATCTATCTACCTCTCGATTATTTATTTGTTGGTTTGTTTGTTTATTTATTTATTTTAAGGCAGTCTCTAGCCCAAGCTGGTCCTGAAGGCTTTATGTAGTTTAGGAAAATCCTGAACTTAAGGACTTAGACAAACACTCCAACTGAGACACATCCCAGCCTCTAGAAAACAGATGGGAAGCTGGGCATGGCAGCACCCACCTATAATCCCAAAACATGGAAGGGAAAGACAAGAGGAGAATCAGGAGTTAAAGGCCAGCTGTGGCTACATATTGAGTTGGAGGCCAATCTGAGGTACAATACACATACCACACACATGCATGCACAGACATACATACAGAGAGACATGGCTCAATACAGTACTTGCCATGCAGACATGAGGGCCTAAGGACCTGGCACCCATGTAAAAGCAAGGGGCAGCAGCACCAGAAGCTCATTTATCGGCCAGTCAAGCCAGTAGGTCAGCTACAAGGTCAATGAGACCCTTTCTCAAGAATAAGATGGGGCTAGAGAGCTAGCTTGGCCGTTAGGAGTGCTTGCTGATCTTCTGTAGGACCTGGATCTGGTTCCCAGCACCCACACTGGCTCATTAACAAGCACCTAAAACAAGCAGGCAAAACTCTGAGTTTGAGGACATAGTAAGTTCCAGGTCATCCAGGGTAACCCTGTCTCAATAAAAAAACAAAACAAAAACAAGGAGATTAAACTAAAAAAGAAATCTTATGTCTGCCTCTGGCATCCAAGGGTGAACACACACAAATAGACAGAAAGACAGAGACACGAAGGAAGAAAAAGGAAAAGAGAAGGCAAGAATGAGTTGAACTAAAGCTAAACATGTTAGTACATGCTTGTGTTTCTAGCATTGGGGATCAAGATTAAAGAGTTCAAAGCTACCTTCAGCTTCATAGTTTGGGGCCAGCCTGGGTCTCATGAGACTGTCTCCAATTTAAAAAGAAGAGAATTGATTTGTAGAAGTAATTTACATGCTGTGGCACTCAGCTGAAACTCCGATGTCCACAGTGATCCTCGGGTCCCCTGGTTTCTGACCTCTTCCACACCTCTCACCTCCTTCTATCCCACCCATGCCTTCTCCTTGTTTCCCTTCAGTCCTTGATTGAAGGAGAAACATATATTCGCTATTCTCACCAAGTTCCAACAAGCCCAGTGTTGCTTGTATCTTCACTCACCAAAACTACAGATTTTGAGGCGGAGGCTTCTGAATTTTTACTGTGGGTACCCTGCGATGATAAAAGGCTGAGTGGCCAGAGAATGCATCTTTTGGTTTTGGTACCAAAGAGGCATAATGGATGCCCGCCTCCTGACCTGTTTGTCTAGACCCAGTAATTTGGAAGTTCTCCTGTGCTGTACTGGCATGAGAGGTCAAGACAGTCTGTGGATGATCTGCTCTATTCGTAGTTCCTCTTTGCCATCTCCAGAGATAAGATTTGCAACACCCACCTCCCTCTTGGACTCCAGCTTCTAGGTTCCACCACACCAGAGTTGGTGATACAAGATCAGACTTTCCCTGGGGACACTGCAGGCTGGCAAAGAGCAGTTTATTCCTAAAAATGCGGGCTCTGCCTCAGATAGGTCTCGGGAAAGAGTGTTGAGGTTCCACCTTTCATCCTGGTGTCCCTTTATGTTTGTTTGTGTTGTAGAAGGGTCACTCTCCTGGGTGCTGACTCCCCATCTCCCACCTACCTCCTTGAGGGCTACTTGTTCCACAGGCCTTGCTCTGGAGCCACAGTCTTGAGATTAGAGATCCCTGAAGGAGCTGGCAAGAACCTGCCGGGGCACCACCCAGAGGAGACAGTAAAGCACAGGGTTGAGGCTGCTATTGCTGTGTGCCAAGCAGGTGGTGATGGGAAAGACATAAGTGTGGATTGTGTAGAAAGTAACTGTCCCAGGGCACCAGGTCAAACTTTATCGGAATTCCCCAGAGAGTGACTACATGGTTGGGAAACCAGCAATCACAAAGGAAACCACCAGGATACAGTCAGAGCAGGCTACCACTTGGCTATCCTGCCGCTGTTAAGGCCTACATCTTTGCAGCCACTGAAGAAAGGCCAGTAGCAGCAGGTAGCTGGTGGTAATGATGGCCTGGGGCACAATGAAGGCCAGAACCACCTCTGTAGCTGGTAAGCCCCCAGCCAGTATCTGCTGGGGAAACACGGAAAGCAGAAGTGCATGCCCCACAACTCACTCAGCCCCAAAGAGTACTGTGGGCCGAAGATGCTGCAGACAGTGGTTGTTTGAACTGTCTTGCAGAGGGCACTTCCAAAAGGCCAGTGGAAGTCCACTGCTGATTCAGTTGCCCAGAAAAGGAAGAGTGAGGGCCAGCCCCAGATCTGCCAGAGCCAGGCTGAAGACAAGGGTGTCAGAAGGTGGGCCAGGCACACGGAGCACAATTACTTAGCACCCATAGCACAGCCAAATTTCCCAGCAAGCCAATGATACCTGCAAGTCCGTAGGCCAGTGCCACCTGATCTGCAGAGCGAGGAACCAGACCGGCACTGCAGCGCCATCAGTCCTCAGCACACTGTCTCCAGCCGTTGGCCCAGAGGACGGCAGGCAGAGAGGCAGAAGAATTGGACGTGGCTGCCACAGAGCACCAGGCTGCTGGAGCAGAGCAGAGGAGCCAGGGAGTGCTGCGCATCTGCTGGACTGGCAAGTGCCACGGCAGTCTCAGGAAAGACCTGGGATCTCCCTGTTGGTGTGGAGCTTCAGGTTGTAGGAACCCCCACCCATTCTCACACCTAAGAGGGAAGGGTGTGGGTAGCCTACTTCCCTGTTGGACAACAATGGTGGGCAGGGCAGCGCAAGGCAGGGCTCTGTCCACAAGCAAACAAGCAGGGAGGGAAAGGGAGAAACGAGGGAGGTCTGGAGTGCAGAACCAAACCAGAAGTCCCCCTTTTTTTTTCTGAGCAGAGAGACCTCTGCTAAAAGAAGAGGTCTCCAAAGAAGCTGGGGAAGGGATATGGTGTTAGAGAACCAGAATGTGAGTTGGAGAGTCCCAAGTCCAACAGTTGCTGTGTCCCACGGAGTGAGTCGCATTAACTCCCATTTCTTTACTTAAAATGTCAGTGTGGGTAGGCCAGAGAGCTAGTGGTTCCGTGCTGCCAAGCCTGATGACTCAGATTTAATCTCCAGGATCCACAAAGGGGATAGACCTGACACAACTGCTCTTTGACCTCCATACTCATGCTGGGGGTGGTATATGTGCCCTCCCAAAATGTTAAAAAGAATATACAAAAATTCAGTGAGATGTCAAGTGCCCGTGGTCACTGCTATCTGCAAAGCTGAGGCAACTAGATCACTTGAGCCCAGGACTTGAAGGCCAACCTTGGCAGTATAACAAGACATAATCTCAAAATGAATAAATAATAAATAGGAGCATGAAGATGCATCAGTGGGTAGCGATCCTTGCACAGGGCTGCCGAGCTACATAAAGGTAGAAGGAGAGGGCAGGCACCACAGGGTTGCCTTTTGACCTATATATATGCACAGCGGTAATCGACACCAATACTACTAAAATAAGATTGATTTAAAGACCAGGCTTTACAGTGTGCTGGTCCCAGTCTTGTCTACATAACAAGTTCTAAGCCAGCCAAGTCACATGGTGAGACCCTGTCTCAAAACAAAAAACCCAAACGGGCTTGGGACTGGATAAAGGTGCCTTCTTTCAAAGCATGACCGCATGATCTGGGACCCCAGGATCCATTCTGTGGAAGGAGAGAAGAGCCTGACATTTGCATACACTCAGTAACACACTATACATTCATGCCACATAGGCAAATA